TGCTTCATGTCTATTCATTTGAAGCTCCTATGCATCAGCTGCTCAAAAGATAGTTTAACCTTTTTTAAACCTTTGAGCTATAACAAAAATATTTTCAATCATGTCAAGAGTGACATTTGACTTCAAATTTGCTTCTCTTGCTCATTTCTGGAAAGTGGACCGATTACTTAAGAGCATCTTGTCAAACACAGATTTAACTTGTTTTTTCTTCACGGCCGGTGTGTTTGCAGACGTGCCTGTGTGAAAAACATTGTGCGTGTGTGTGTATATGTGTGTGTGTGTGTGTGCACTGTGGCGTCTATAACTTGTGGAGAATCCATCAAAGCTTATCATTATAAGTAAACATGACAGAGTGGACAAAATGTCTTGTGCGCCGCCAGACCTGCTATCTGACCACAAGCCATATCTGTGATGATGGACTGATGTGGCGCTGGCCTGGACCAAGCAGAGTCTGAGCAGGAGTGTGGGAGTGCATGTATGAGCACACAGAGACACACTTGAGAGCACACTTCAAAAGGTGCACTCACATAGACACAATAAGCACACACTCATGTTACCTTATATCTGTTAGATCTTGAAGGAATACGGCCCGTACACTAAATGAAAAGCTGACTTATTGCTCAGTCACAAACGGGCAGACGAGGACATAATTCATATGGGAATTTATTGCTGTTATTTATTTGCTAGTGTTGAGTGGGGTTCATAGTTTTACCAATTAGTTGAGCACAGACGGGGGGGGGTTCTTAAAAGAGATGGTCACTTTACAGAACAAGCCTCATTTTATGACAGATGAGATCAGAGAAGAGTTAAGGAGTGCTGAGAGAGATTTGCTAGTAATGTTAATTCGTAGTTCATGATCTGTGCCGTGGTTGCGTTGATAGTCGGTATGAGTTGTACTATAACAGAAGACATCCAAGATGCTTTGGGAAGTGAAGGATACCATAAGGATTTTTTTTGCAGTTGCTAAAGGTGAGGTTTCTTCTTGCATGTGTGTACAAGTGTTGAGGTCAGCCTGTGTTCCTCTACTTGTTACAACACCACTGATAAGGAGGGTAAACAACCATGCACTGTTTGCTCCCCTATCACAGTCACATGATCAAAAAAAAAACCCTGATGACAGAGAGCGTGCATTTTTGTAAAGGTGGATTTCTGCCTTATGCCCACTTTTCCTTCAGCTTTAAAACACTGCCCTTGCCTGGAGTGTGGCCCCAGTGCTGTCTGGCTAATAACTAAAAGAATTAGCGCTCCAACATTGATAACCTCTCCCTTGCTGTTCAATTCCTGGGTCAAAGGTCATGGCTGCAATGCATCAGCTGACTTGGCAGATTGACAGTAGGTGTAGTGGGACTGGATGGTATACAGTACAGTTGTTTCCAGTCATGTCTTCGTCACTTTCATTTGCTTGTGGGAGCATAGCAGTGTGTGTGTGTGATGAGGGTCATTAACCTCACAGAAACCTAGAAGCTGCTCTTTGTGTCAGTCTGGACTATCAGAGACCACCAAGAGACTGATGAGAGTCTCTAGTACATCTGAAATATTCAAGCCTCATGCATCATTTACAAATATTCAAAGAATTTTGAGATATCTGGGGCTTAGTTCAATCTCCCAAACAGGTAGGACAACAGATCTAGCTTCTCAGTCGCAGCATACCGACATTTGCACACTAATAGAGGAGTTTCCTAAATACTAAGTGTGCATGCTTTGAAATGTAAAGTTGAAGGAGTTAGCCATGGAAAATAGTTGGAATACTTTTCCATGGCTGTCAGCTTGTTTGTAAATGTTTTTTTTAAAAAGAGAATTGACCAGATTACAAGAAGCTGCATGCTTTGTACTTCCCATAAAATATATTCATCTTTGTATGGTGTTGACCCATCTCTAGCCATCTAACCTTTCTCTTTCTATTACATTGCTAGAATGAGCAAATCCTTTTTCATTGTAGACAGAAAACCAACCAATATTCTCATTAGCCTTTGTCTCCATTTGGAAAGTGTGCATCTGATTTAGGTTCATGCCATTACCCTTTGGTAATGGTGATACTACTACTGTTATCTTGTAGCTTAGTCATTTCCTCATAGGACTTCTTTGACATTCTGTCATCTAAGCTACACATCAATTGGGTTTTGTTTAGCTAGCATGGTGTACAGGTTAAATACAAAATAGTATATATAGATACATTTTTTGTAATGGTATATAGAGTACATGCGCTGAGTCTGAGACCTTCAAGGAACTTGACTACTCTCATTTCAACGATGAAAATGTTTAGATCTCTTCTGGTCTATCAATGGGTTTTTCTCCCCCTTTTAAGCATTTTTATCATTTGTCTATATCAATGTAATTTTGTTTGCAAGACACATGAAGTAGCAGAAAAGGGTTGTGGTGGCTGCAGTGGACCTTAACCCCGTGCTCTGTCTGATGACCAGCAGGCGGTTGTTTCCAACTGCATACAAATCCAAGACACAAACTGTCCCCGTGCTTTCTGTGGGTAAACATTTTCCAGATGGCTTTATTCTATCTTTCTCTTTTTCCAGTACAGTCTGATGTGCAAATTGTAAAGTGAAGGTATTTTCACACACTACATCAGAAGGTTTTCTGCTGCCTGCTGTCCACTCACAGCCAGGTTTGGCACAGCCTGCCCCTTGTCCCTGTATTGGGTAACAGGAAAAGGACTGGCTGAATTATATAAGTACTTGTTGTTGTTGTTTGTTTATGTGTTTGCTAAAAATTGCACACATTTAAAGTACTAATGTTCACACCAAACCACCAAAAAAGAACATTCCTAACAATCAAGAAATCAAAAACTGATAAGCAAGAACAATCATGACTATAAAACAATCTGAATGAAATAACAAAAACTCACCTTTGATCAAGTCATCATAGATTTTCATATTAAGTTTAATTATGAACACAGCTTCATTAATTTCCTTTTGATTTCGATATCAATCACTTCTGCACAAAGTTGGACTGTGTTAGCTGTGAGGTCACTGGTTCACACCAGATTTGATTTAAACTGTAGTTTATTTCTTTGGATAATTCTGCTTTAAACATTTCTCCTCCTAATTGGTTTATTGCCCAACACTTAGTAAACATCCTTACATCTTCTTGTGAGCTTACAGATAAAACTTTTCTTTAAAACATATCTGCACTTCTTTTACACATTTTGCCTCATTATAATGAATGATGACCCTATATTCTCTATCAGTTATCATTTATGTGACACATCCTATTTTCAGTGTTTAGGTTTTGCCTCTCCTTGCTACCATGGTGTACTTGAGGTTATCAGCTGCCGTAGCCTAAGCTAAAAGTGTGACGCCTGAGCGAAATGATTTTAAATCAATCCAAGGCCTGAGCGGGGTCAGACGTTTGTGACAATGGCTGATTTAACAGATATGAGCACCATATCATTTTCATTTGGACTGGCTTTCCAAAACAAGGCTAGCACTGAACAGATCCGGCAAGCGTTTCAGTCTCTGCCGGCACCAGACAGATTTATTTTTGAACGTATGCTGGTCGGCATGCTAGTAGTTTACAAAAACATTCAGAGCTGCACACGAACTTAGATGTGATCCGTCTTTTTGTTTGTCTGAGCACGAGTGTTTCTTTGAAGCATCTTAATAAAAAGAAAAAAGGGAGGGAGGCATAGCAAAAAGTTTAATATAAGGGCCTATGACTAAATTATGTGTTTTATACATCTATCTTACATGACTGGAAGACAGCGAACAATTCCGGCTGGACTTTGGCTTAATATTCCAGCTCTGTCTGAGGTCCACATATTGAACATATTACCCTGTAAAGAGTCGAAAGTTTATTCCAGTTCATCCTTGTCTTTCTTCGGTGCTCAAAGGAATGGGACAATGTCTCTCTGCCTCAGCATGGTTTCTATTCTTACCCTCTATTTATTCAGTCATCTCCAAACTCCAAAGATGGTTAAAAAGAAATGTGGGGAACACTTGCAGTAAAAGTTGACAGCATTAAAAAGAAGACGGATTGGACGTAGAAAAATAAACTAAACTCAAAGACTGCGTTTACAGAAAACAAAGGGGTGGAGGGCCACGTTTGAAACTGTCCTATATCTGACTCACATGGAGGTTTTGATGTTCTTGAAAGTGGACGATGATACCCAGAGCCACAGGGTCGCTGCCAACACAAACCCTGCTCTCAACCACCACCCCCGCCCCACAATCCTTTGCTCCTTGCAGGGTAAAGAAAGGAGGGGGCAGAAGGGGGCTGACGAGAGTCTGAACAGGCCGGAGGAGGGACACACCGGCGCCATGGCGATCCCCAAGACAACTTATCTCCTCTCTCACAATGATAGCGGCTGTCAAAATAACTGCCAAGATACACAGCCAGGCAGGAACTGGTTAACTTGTAGGCCGCCCAATCCTGCCGGGGTCTCTGTCTTTTCACAATTGAGAGGGTTTTCTATCATTAACTCAATTGAACTTGGCTGACTTTACTGAGATGACTGCCATACAAATACAAAATTGCATGACATTTAAAGGTAAAACCCCAATTTAAAGTAAGTGAAAGTATCTATGCAAACTGTAAACATATTTAGATAATATGCATCTAGCGGACACTGCTTTGAACACTGCTGTTTGCTGTTGTTGAATTTAACTTAAGAAAAAACAAAACAAACAAGAACACTTCTGATGTAAGTTTTATCCATGAGTAGGTGGTGTTTTTAATCTGTTGAATCTTTGGTGTTTTAACTGTTCTTGGCACTTCATTTTGTAGACGATTTGTTGTAATATGTCGCCATCTGGTGGTAAAAGTTACCTTTTTCATTTCTCTTCAATCATGGATGAATGAAAATCAGGCCCTCTGGAGCACAATTATCAGATATGCAGCCCAGAGTTGGGGAATATTAAGAAGCGCAATCAATAATCAATTGATGAAAAAGGAAAAAAGGTTAGTTCCCTGACCGGGAATCGAACCCGGGCCGCGGCGGTGAGAGCGCCGAATCCTAACCACTAGACCACCAGGGATGCGTGAAATCTGGAAAGGTAACGTCCAATTTCATCCATTACATTCAACACTGTGAACTGTATTTTGTTAAAAATATATAGTTGCAATATGTTTTCTCATTCTTAATAGCTTTCTCTTCTTTTTGTTCATTTTCACGGCCACATTTAATTTTGTGTGTGCGTATCGTGCACGCAACACCAGAGGGCGTTTCAAAGGGAGGAGGCTTTATTTTCCTGAAGCCGTTTGAGGATGCGCGCAAGGTATGTGAGCAATTTCAGCTACCTGTTTTTATTTTAAATTCAGCCTTTCACGGCGTCGTTGCACACTGATGTTTGGCGTCAGCGGTTCCCCGGGCTGCATGACTAGAAATTCTTCGAGGTAGGTGGGCAGGTTTTACTAAACCGACGGCCAGACCGTTCTTACCACCGACACCGGATTGCTTTTGTCTGTAAACAAAGTGGCTAGTTAGCACTGTTAGCATCAGCTGTCAGCTCAGCTGGAACGAGGCTGGACGTTGTTCAATGTGCCTACATTTGCTCGGAACAAGGTGGCAGAACCACACGGTTTAGACACGGCATATTTGGACCGTGTGTGTGTGTGTTGTTGCTACACAACAGAGGTAGGCGGTCGGTTCCATGAGGAATTACCATGCTCACCAAGTTTATCCAAAGGATGGGTTTAACTAAATTGGTTAACGTACCGCGGTTGTTTCTTTCCCTCCGCAGGGTAGCCATAAACCTTTTTATATAACTCTTACACGTGAGTGGACCTCAGTTGTCCAGCCTCTGCTCGTTAAGGTCTGAGGCCGTCTGTTTGTTCAATTTTAGCTTAATCCCGTTGTGTTAGCGGAGATCGTGACTGTTTACACCAGGGGTGTCCAAACTTTTTGCAAAGAGGGCCAGATTTGATAAAGTGAAGATGTCCGGGGGCCAACAGTTTGTTCGGACATTTTTTAACTACAAAAGTTTCATGCAAATACACACTGTAATAAAACAATTTTCATTGTCACAATTATTTTGGTTTTTCAAATGACAAAATAACCAAATATAAGCCACTCAGGCAGATGTGAACAACTCTAAAAAACAAAAATTCTGCCTTTCATTCATATCTGGAGAGTAAGATAACATTGAACAAACTGTATGAAATACCTTAAATTTACATTAGTTTAAAAATATCTTTGCCGCTTGAACATTTAAAACAGGAGTTATGAGTAATGCAAAGTTCTCTGTTAATATTAAATCTTAAAACAAGTGAATCTTGCTCTTGTCATTTACAATATCTTTCAGAAAATGATAGCTTGTGTCAGATCTACAGGTTCATAACATAAACAGTAATAACCAAATCTTACTAAAGAGTTTAATAAAATAAAGTGCCATAAATCCAAGTGTATAAATGTTTTTTTGCTTTTCACTGTTGATAGTGACAGATGTTACAGTTCAAAATACTCAATTTCAGATTGATCAAGAAACAGATAACTTGCTGACACTAATGAGAAGGGTGATACTGAGATCTGGTTTGCCATGTTTAGCTATTAATATGGCCACTTCGTAGCTTGCTTTGGTTATATTTTCTTTAGACTCGTAGGCCCGCGTGAAGAATCGCTGCTGTGATGCCAGTGCAGCTTGGAGCTGCTTCACTTCCTCAGCACGGTCACTCGCTGTTAGCTTGTCGTATGTGTTAGCATGTTTAGTCTGATAGTGTCTCTTTACGTTAAAATCCTTAAACAAGGCAACCGTCTCTTTACAAATTAGACAAACACAATTGCCTTGATTTTCAGTGAAGAAGTATTGTACTTCCCATTTCTCTTGAAAGCGGCGGCCCTTGCTGTCAACTTTTCTTGTTTTCTTTGCAGTTGCCATGGCAGCAATGAGCGGAGAAACGGTTCGCGGCACCGATGCAGAAACTGATAGTATTAAAGTGGTGCTGCCACCACTTGGTGAAGGGAGGAATTACAGTTTTAAATTTTAGGATTTATTTATTCTGTTTGAGGGGCGTGCCATAAATAATACATTAAAAAAACGAAGCTGCGGGCCGTATGAAATCTGGCCGCGGGCCGTGATTGGCCCCCGGGCCGGACTTTGGACATGCCTGGTTTACACAGACCGGATTCGCACACTATCGTTGCTCATGATAGACCAGGACTTTTCCTGTTTTACACAATGAAACACGTATTCGCTCTTAAAAGTAGCAGCACGCGTGGCTGTACGGTACAGTGTTATTTTGCTATTTTGGTTTGTGAGCTGCCAAACCAGACTGGCTCATTATGGTATGCTTCCATCGCCCTCCACTTGAACCAAAGCAGTTATGGCTTAAGCGGTGTGGCATTAGGTTCTCGGAGTGTTGTGAGTCTGAGTGGGGATGCTCTCTGAGAGCTTTCTAATAGGCTTATTTCTTCTTCTCCTTCTTTTTTCACAGGACGAGAAAGAAGTGCGAGAGCAAAGCGTGAGAGGTGATCACCCCAGAGTTGTGTCTGCTGGCTTGGACGCACTTTGCTGGCGGGTGGATGCTTGTATGGACGCACCAACGATAACTGCCTGCAGATTTAGGACCTCGGCCTGATGGAAAAGAGGGACAGAAAGCCGGGATATTTTGCCAGGTAAGGAACTACCTGACTTTGGTGCCACAGAGCAATGATCCAGACTCAGTATTTAAGCTCTCATTTGTAGTTAGTGTGTTTTGTTTTGTTTTTTAATGGCATCCAGAGAGGTAGGTACGCTGATATTGGTAATAAATCTTGGGATCTCATACAGAAGAGCGGCTGTCTTGGGAGTCTTTTTGCATTATGTGTAGCACACAGCAGCTTAAAATTCTCAGCAGCCACACGTAGGATGAAGAGAGAGAGAAAAAACTCTGCCTGGTATCTGTTTATTGAACAGGAACCGAACCTTTGTGCAAAATATGTATCAGAGAAGGTGCCAAACAACCTTTGGCTGTATTGACAAAGATGGTTTATCAGCAGCAGCAAAAAAAAAAAAAAAACCTTTTTAAAATCAGATTCCAGTCCAGTTGCAGTGTCAGGTTTCTTCCTGCTCAAATACAGCAGCAGACAACTAAAACGGTCTCCCCCTTTCTGCAAGCCTCAGTTAGCTGGTGGGGGCATTAGCCGGTCGGTTCAGATCAATGAAGCCCATGGACCACATTCAGATGTGTAACCTTTTCAGGGTAATATTTAATTTTTTTTCTTGAGCTGCTTTGTCATTTGTGCCTTGACGCGCGGCTCTGGAGGTCCATTTACCGACTGTGCCTTCCCACCTCAATTAAGCCGCTGGCCCCCCTCACAGGGCCTCATTAATCAGCGTAATGCGTCAGCGCTCGTGCGGGCGCTGAGGTGATGTTCACTTTAAAATTGGATTTTGGCAGCATTGTGAAACTAGATATTGGTAAATGTGCGGAAAGGGGCTTATCAAGGTTATGTTGAATAGAGTGACGACAGCTCATCGGGCCATCAGCAAATTGCGGCCCCCCCCCCGGTGACGTTCACACAGGTGCGCAGTGTCGCACATCTGCGTGTTTGACTCCCCAAACACTCACATGTCCTGCCATGAAATCTTCCTTGATCGTGTTTAGAAGCATTGGGGTAATGCAGCCTTTTGGCCTTGATTCTCAAATGCCTTGTTTCGAGTGCTGATGAGACATTTATTTTCTGTGTTTCTCTTTTCGGGAAAAATGATGCAACAGGCAGGATGTTGCTTATTAAAATCACATCTTAACTATATGCTTTTTTTTTTTAGTTTATGTTACTGGAAAGGGCTTGTGCAAATTATGCAATCTGAAGAAAAGTAACTCAAACTATATTCTATATAATGAAAATACGTGGCTTGTTGTGTCTTTCGGCTAACTTGGCTGAGATCATCAGCTTCATCACAGGCTCATGATAGCAAGATATGTATTTAGTGTCTGACTGAATGTTAACAATAATTTGCTCCTCTTAGCCCGTGACCGCGGCACCTAAGCCCAGAGTGGGCGTGCACCAACACAGAAGGCGCATAACAGCTCGCTAGTAGTTTTTACACGAGTCAGAATCCTGTTGTATGGGACTCAATAAAGACTGGCCTTTACCCTCGGTCTGTCGGAGGCTGATGTTGACAGCCATCGTATTTCAGTAACTCACAGCTGTTATCAACAAGACCACATGTCCGCTGAGACCTGTTACCCTCAATTATTATCGTTGCCTTATTTTTTTGGTAATGAATGACATCATTTGTATTAGAATAATCACAGCTGACGTTTTCTGTCAACCAACACAAGAATGTCTTTATTCCATTAAATTCTTGGGTTTGATCATTGGATCCCAGGCTGTGTGTAAGGATAGATAATGGATAAATCGGGAATTAAAAAAGGCCAACAAAGCGAATGCTGAAGCAACAGTGTTCTGTCAGTTGTCGTGTAGCAGCTCTCTGACAAATGGAGCAAAGGTCAGTATGAAGCACATGCGTACAGGCCCAGTGAAGGCCATTATGCACCAGGGACTTGGTTTTTAATGTCTTTGATCTCTAGTGAAGGAGAAAAAAAACAAGTGAAAGCAAGTTTCAATGATCTTATCTTTCATTTCATCGGTCTCTCCAGTTTTTTGGGATCCTGCCAAGTACTTTGGATTTGCTGTGCTGTAAACATGTCTATGCAAATAAGGGTTGATTTATCTTTTTCTCTTGGAAGAAAGAAATGCAAGTGTGTGGCTGGAAAATCCCACTCAAGGCATTTAGTTTGCATCAAAACAACCCTAAACTACATAATGGTCCGATGTTTTTTTTGTTTGTTTGTTTTCGTAAGTTTGTTTAGAGCTCACTTCAATAAATATCAGTTCACCAGAGAATTATCGTTCTGTCTACATTTGTCTAGCAGCCGTATGGGGATCTTCATAAGGAATTTCTTTGGTGGCAGCTAAAAAAATTTATATGATTTAAATGGAAAAACGTTGTATTTATTTGGTTAAAAAGGCCTACCACCTAACTCTGAACTGAGCTGACCCTGACATCAGAAACTAAACAGCAGATCAGGGTTGGTTTAGTTTGCAATGGGGAATTTTCCACTCTGAGCTTAGGCCAGTTTTTGGGTGATTACAGGATAAATAGGCTGTCATCAAAGATGATGCCACAGAGACCTGCATTCACCATGGAAACTGGTAACGAAGAGCCACATCACCATTTTAATCTAGTGGAGGTAGGGTTGGCTAGCTGGCAAATCCGATGCCCATCTTCACAATTTATACTACATGCATTTTCTGTTCTAGATAATTTTGTTGGAACGCTGCTAGAATTCTATCGTACATTGATTGGATTTTTAAAATGTAATAATGGCTGCTACACAATAGAAGTTACAGCCTCCTTGTCTTGGTATTCTCCCTAAAGGCACATCTCCATGTGCTTCATATTTCAAACCTGCTGGCTATGACAGTCTTGTTTCTGTCCTGCAGCTGTGTCAGGCTCTTCATGAGGGAGGAATGAGAGACAAAGTCAGAATGATGAACTCTTATGCCCGTCATCACTGACCACAAGATTAAATCACATTCTTGAGCTTAGAGAGAAGAGCTGTCTTCATCTCAGCTCAAAGAAAGCTGTAGTTTCCACAGTAAAAACTATGCTGTCTGGAACATTCCCAGGAAAAGGGCCTTTTTTTACAAACTGAATGTTATGAGGGAGAGAAGAAGCGCTTAATAGTAGATGCTGACATGCAGAGGAGACTTTGATCGGGAGATCTGAGGACTGCCCCTGGGTGAAACAGATGTTGCTGCAGAGTGTGTGTCTGCAGATTCTCGAGCTCACGACCACATGCTTGCTGCTCCAGGTTATAGAGGGAGAATGACTTAAGACTGAGGGAGGAGAGCTGTTTCCATCTGTCTGCAGACTTATTGACTCAATCTATCCCTCCATTAAAGCACTTGAACACTTTATATTCTTTTTTATTTATTTATCTATTTTTTGCTGCCGTTGCCCCTGGCTGTGCAACATTATCTTGATCCTTCAAAGTCTTTCATAAATCATCTGGGCATCTCTTTTCTTTCCCTGCCAAACTGGTATGCTCTCAGGGAGTGCGCATTAACCTGAGGTGCACCACTAACCTCAGGTTCCAGAGCACCGCACTGTCCTCCTGCAAGTTCCCTCACTTATAAATGATTTAACAGGGGGGGGGGGGGGAACAGCCTGAGCAAACACTAAAGCTGACACAGCAAAGTCGAGGCAAACAGAGGTTTGTGATATCTGCCGGTTACAGATTGTCCACCCATCCGTCCACCCATCAGCTATGGCGCTATTCCTACTAGGGTCACGGGAGGGCGGGAGCCTGTCCCAGCTGGCACTGGGCGAGAGGCGGGAATCAACCTGGACAAGTTGCCGGTCCATCACAGAGACAAACACACACACACAAAAACTCTGAATCACTCCTTCTGTTTGTTTCTGAACTGGCCTGATTGTAAGAAAAACTTGCCTCCGATGTGGAACTAAACATGCGCAGCTGCAGTGATCTGCAACATTAGATTAGAATTTTTGGAAGAAAAAAAAAGATCAAAGTTTACTAAAAGGCCTTATCCTGGTCTGTAGACGTTGGCTTTAGTTGCAGATCATTTCAGACGAGGTGATTACGTGACCATTGCTTAGTGTTTTCCCTTTGTCCCAACAGGCTGAAGAAGCGGAAGCAGCTGAAACAGAACCAATCAGAAAAAAGTCCAAATGAGCAGAGCCCTGCTTTCATCTGCTGTGACAGCGACCCCAACAAGAAGACAGACCTACAGAGAGTCACAGAAAAGCCACCAGCAGGTTCGGGTAAGACGATCACGTGCAGGTTTTCCGATGCATTTAAGGAATTCTGTGTCGAAAACCAATTTCCACCTTAAATTACAGGACGCAATTTTCTGTTCACTTTTACTGAGTTTTTCATTTATTGTCAATATTCAAGACATCCCTTTCTTATTCACTAGAATAATTCTCAGAATGAGTGATGCAATACAGCCAGTAATACTCTGAGTTGGAAGTCATCTTTTGTGGTCAGCAGTTTAAACAGGAAGTTGCATAACCTTTATCCTGTACAGCATTACAATGGATGGGGACAACAGAACTTTTTTCGCAAGGTTTGGGGAAACAAAGATGTGCTGCGAACCTTAAAATCGGCTAAAAGCACAAATTTGAGAATTTAATTATGTATGCATTGTATTCATTTAGACTGTATTAAATTCAGACTTATGCACTGTATTTAGTTCTTGCAATGTTTTAAAAAGGCGAATCACAGTGTTGCTTAGATTATTTCTAGCATGTGTTGTGTGTCTGCTTAAAATGCAGAATATTGACGGTGAAATTGGACTTCAGTCATATGTGCAGTGGATCATCATATCTGCGGCTACAACACTGTGGTCTTATCATAATACACGGCCAATTTAATGCTCTGCACTGTCATAAAAGACTATTCTCTCCATATCATGCAGAGTGTGGTGTCAGACACTGCCCGGTACACACTCAATGAATGAAGCGCTCAGAGGAGTGGCATTGTGTTGTATTCAATGCTAAGTGCAGTTTGGAGCACGGGCAGATAGTTTTAAAGTCAAACGCTTAGTCATGCCCTCTGTTTCCGCAGAGAGGGCCGCAGCATAATGAGGCAGTCAGGGAGCCGTGCACTAATAGCCTCTGTGTTCTGGTGGGAGGAAAATGCTGACTGTGAGACTCGTCAACAAGAGTGGGGTTATCCATGTGTATTTACAGTAACAGATCTGGAATGTACCATGTCTTAAAACTGGACAAGGGCTAATGGTACTGGATAAAGAGTAACACAATAGATTTATAGGGCTCTCTCTTTATCCTGCCTTTAATAGATGCTGCAGTTCACCCATTGAATTAGCAGATGGACAGGACTAAACCATTCAAGTTTTTTCAGCAATTCAAGTTTTTTATTGTAAGGTTTTACATTCGGTCATTTTATCCTACTTGTTCATCCAGGTGATGGCTGTAAAAGTAACAATCAAGCAAAGATGGAGAAGAAGAGGCCACCAGGGACAGTGGACTTCATTGTAAGTTATGTGACTGATGCGCTGCAGACCTGTTAACAGAAGGTTGCTCATTTCCTCATACCTTGGTTTGACCAATACGTGGTTTTAAGAAAAAATAAAAATTGCATGTCTTGTTATAGGTGGGACCAAATGATTCCCTCAACAGCATTGCACTCAAATTCAACATCACCCCAAACAAGCTGGTTCAGCTGAACAAGCTCTTCACTCGCAGTGTCTACCCTGGGCAGGTGGGAGGACTGACTGTAGCATATGATGCCTTTTCATTCTCCCCATTACGGGATTTGCTGACTATTGGCCGTCCATCATTACAGAAGCTGTTTGTTCCAGATTTGAGCCAATCTGAAACCGTCCCAAAGTCTACGAGTTCATCTGACCCCTCTTTAAGTAATGGCTTGTCTGACAAGCCATCAGACGTAAGTGAAACCTAGAGAATGCTAAGTGAATGTGGCGTATTATACTTCAGTATTATACTTCATTGTATAACTTGTTTGGTCCGGCTGGCCTAAGGCTCATACCTCACTGGGTTTTCACTTTTACTTTCCTGTGTGAAGAGCCTTTCAAATGGAGGGAAACATGTATGACAGGGGCATCAGCCTTTCACAGTTAGCGTGCATAATGATCCAGCGGGGAGCAGCAATGCCACACACAAACCAGTTAGCATCCACGTTTGCACTTACAGACAAATGAGTGGAACAATTAGTTTATTTTCTTATCAGTCTCATCAAGTCTCTGAAGTGTCGTTTCGACTTTTTTCAGGATGCCGCAACAAACTGCCGGTCGGCAAAGTCCATCCGCCGTGAGCTCTCACCGAATTCGGAGGACGAGAGCCCGGCAACGGTTAGATTCATCAAGATGAGCTGCAAATACTTCACTGATGGCATGGTGAGAAGCTTCAACCCTCCGGTGATGAGGAGCATTTATGTGGATGCAGAGTAGCGATCATTTATCCTACAATTGACCCATCTCGTTATTATTGAAAATTGAATTGTTTTGTCTTTTCTTATTGCTTTAATATTGAATAAAGTCCGACCACCATTTCCATGCGCCCACTGGCTTTGTTTCAGGGGGTGGTCGGAGGGGTGCTAATAGTGACACCCAACAACATCATGTTTGACCCCCACAAGTCAGACCCGCTGGTGATCGAGAACGGCTGTGAGGAGTACGGCCTCATTTGCCCCATGGAGGAGGTGGTGTCCGTGGCTCTGTACGATGACGTGTCGCGCATGAAACTCAAAGACGCTCTGCCATCGTAAGAGCTCCCAGTAATCTCACTGACCACACTTACCTCTTCCCCACCCAGACTCCAGCCCTGTTCCTTTGGTCTTGTTCCTCATTCCAGTTCTTGTTTCGCTTGTCTAAACTTTCTGTGCCAAACTCTGAAGACCACACGAACGCGCCACATTTCTCTCAAACCATGTTCTGCAGCTTCTCTTTGTTTGCACTAAATATATCATCTCCACAATTTGATCTGTAGAAAAGGAAAATGTTAAAAAAGTGATATTTCTTTAATCTTCATTTTGTTTGATTTAATGTATTAGAATAGTTTCTTTCTTGTTGAGATTAAGTTTTCAGTTTTTCATCACATTTGTTCTTTTTAAGTTATGTGTTGTGTTAATTTCTGTTGGACGTTTTCTTTTTCTTTGTTGTCCCCGTCTTTTTTTCTTCTTTTTTTTCTGCCATCCTCGTCTGCCGTATGTGTGGTGCGCCGTGACCTCACAGAGATCTACCCCAGGATCTGTGTCCTGTGTACAGGCCTGGGGACTGGGAACAGCTGCCGTCAGAGCAGGAGCTGAACCCTTTCAGCCGATATGAAGCTATGGTTCCAAAACAACCCATAGTTTTGGATGACATTGAATCTACCCTCTCTGAAATTGGTGAGATGCGATCAAATGTCAATGTTTGTGATCAGTTTCCTTGGTTTGTGGCATTTCTTGGTCACATATTTTTAAGGTTTTCTCTTCTATGTCATTGATTAGATGACAGGTTAGTCTCAAATATGGGAACTTCTTTAAACTTAAATGTAACCCTTTTAAACCTCAGGGAGTACAGAAGGTGAGCAGACAGAGAAGTCTCCATCGGATGAGGGATTCACTGAGCTTGAGCCCACAGTCAACGGGAGCACAGAGGAGGCCGAGGCAGCGTCCTCCACCACACTCAGCACTGTCAGCAGAGACCACCACGAGCATGTGGGACCAAGCTGTCCAAGCCAGGAAAACGTCCAGAACAAACATATACTTGGCCAGACAAAAGGGAAGCTGGATGACGAGGAGGATGAAGGTGTAGCTCAGAACTGCTCCATCGAGGATGGAGAGTCCACACAATCCTCCTTTGAGACTGAAAAACAGGGTGTTGTGCATGATAAACCTGATAGCCATGAGGCCACTGAAACCAAAGATTTTAAATCTCAAGGACCTGAAGAGCTGCTAAATAGAGTAGATGATAAAATAACCATGCAGTTGAGTCTTAAGGAGGCTTCAGAGTTAAATGGGAAGTCGGCACTGGAGAGGCAAAGCCCAGACAGACCAGTGACGGCGGATGAACTCAGTGAGGAGGAGAAACGTAAGAATAACTACGAGGCTGAGATGAAGTCCTGGCTCCTGGAGAGAATGCAGGCTCCAATACAAGGTACAGAATACACAATATGAATCCATGAGTGGATGGATTCATATTGAGATGTAAAAATGTCTCCCATGGAGCACTGAGGGGTTTAACTTTACTTTTTTCTCTGAGCAGATATGCTTCACTCATCTGAAGAGAAAAGCAAAATACCACCTATGTTCCTCTGCTTCAAAGTTGGAAAGCCAATGAGAAAGTCTTTTGTGACTGGCATGACTTCCAGTCCTGCCCACTCATTTGGGAGCCGGGAGAAGCAGCCAGAGTATTGGTTTGCTGTGCCTCAGGAGAGGTGAGGCAATGCTCATGGTGATACATTGAAGATATGTTATTCTCTCAGTGATCACAGTTAAAGCTAAACCTTTAAAAAAAACTAAAAAAAAACTTGTGATGATTCTTAAGTGAAATTTGGGATTTTACCTCTAATTTAAATTCTGTTTAAATCTGTGGGTTTTTTTTGTTTGTTTGTTTCCAGGGTGCGAGATCTGTATTCATTTTTCCTTCAGTGGTCTCCTGATGTGTACGGGAATGAAGTTCGTGAGCAGGGCTTTGTCGTGGTGGAGAAAGATGAACTGGACATGATCGACAACTTCTTCAGTGACCCCGCTTCCTGCAGCTGGGAGGTGAGGAAATTGTACAAAGACGCCACGTTTATCAAATGTTCCAGTCGCTTCATTCTTCTGTCTTTTTTGCTCTTTGGCCTTGTTCTTTGTGAACTTGTTCCAGATCATCACCCTTGACGAGGCTAAACGCAGGCAGAGTTTTGGCAGCTGTGACAGAGATCTGTCTGTGGATGCTCTTCCCATCCTCCTGGATAGCAGCGATCTGTTGCAGGACACGCACATTGAGAAGGTAAGTATACAACGTATGAAGCGGATGCCTCATAGATCACTTTATTTAATACCTTTTTTAACTTCATTTGAATTTGGAATGATTACATGTTCTTATCTGTCTATTGTCTTTTAGTCTGATTATCTTTATCTTGGCCCTCCAGCTTGCATGTCGCCTGCCAGCCCGTGTTCAGGGATACCCGTGGAGACTAGCCTACAGTACCGAGAAACACGGGACTAGTCTGAAAACACTTTATAGGAACCTGATAGAGGTGGACAGTCCTGTGCTACTGGTCATCAAGGACATGGAACACCAGGTAACTACAGGTCAAATGTAAAAGAAGTTTCTCTTTGGATGTTACGTTTCCTTGTCAAAGCTTTTTTACTTCTGACAGTTAGGGTTATTAAACTGTGTTGTTTCTGTTTTTTCTGATTTATTAGATTTAAACAACACAACAGTAATAATTATTAGCGTCTTTAAAAATAGAGAAACAAAATCTAATGCTGCAAATCAGAATTTAAAAATATAAATAAGGCTTTTAACAATCGAGCAGCGTTATGATATGATTTCAGAAACTGAAATTCAACATTTGAATGTCCTATTTTCACAGATATTTGGGGCATTCTCAACACATCCTTTCAGAATGAGTGAACACTGCTATGGCACCGGGGAGACTTTCCTCTTCAGTTTCTGCCCTGAAATTAAGGTCTGTGCTCAGTTAGAGATCTTGGTGTTTGGGATCTAACTGATACTGTCTTTCAGAATCTGATAATAGAATTTGGTGTATATTTCCAGGTTTACCGCTGGACAGGGGAGAATTCTTACTTTGTGAAAGGCAACATTGATTCTCTGCAGATGGGAGGAGGAGGGTGAGGAGTGAAACTTCAGTGTCTCTACATTGTTTGAAGCATGGATAACCAAAGGGTTTTATAACTGCTGTTTCTTTCTGTCTGCCCTTTCCTCTGCAGTGGTCATTTGGGTCTGTGGCTGGATGCCGAGCTGTACCGTGGCACCACCACAAAATGTGCCACGTTCAACAACCAGCCGCTCTCCTCCCAGCAGGACTTCAACATCCACAGTCTGGAGGTCTGGACCTTTGAGTAGCCGCATCTGCTCCTTCGACATCCACTCTCTGAATCCACAAATCCCCCAACTCTAAAGCACCCCAAGTCTATAATGCATCACTTGGGAGGCGAACCTAGCAACACACAAATGACTGTGAGACGGAGGCAACCTGTGGAGCCGAGATGTTACTACTCTGGTCTGTTTTGAGGTTTTGTCGGTTTTGAAGGCTGACAAGTTTATGTTCAGTTCTCAAGAAGTGAGAAAGCCTCAACTCTCAGTTCACTGGTTGCCTTAGACATCAGACAACAATTCCAGCTTCTCCAGCATGCAGGCTGCCTTACCACTAAATGCTTAAAAGGGGAGGAGAGCTGCTTTTTCACCTGGTCATCTAAATGAGGCCAAGCTGTTAAGGTTACTGTATATGTTGGTCCACAAAGAGCTGGCTTTATGTCTGTCTGAAGGACAAGGGAATCCCTCTGTCCTGTCAGCCCAACGTGGCAGAAACGCAGATGATGTTGGTATGGTTTGTATGTTCGACAATGAATGACAATGTAATGAAGATATTTTGAATGGTTATTTTGTTTTTTATGTCACAATGAACTTGAAACTTGAGGGAATTACCCTGTAAGTTGTTTTTAAATTCTCTGCCATCAAATTAAGTCTCAAAATTGTTTACAATGGAAGTGTTAACTTCCCCTCAAAGCTGTCTTGTTGTCTTAGTTTGAGTTTTAGATGACATGAATGAGTCCCATCTCGTTTCCTCATTATAACATGTAATAGCCCAGTTCAATCCAAAACAACTGGTAGAACCAGAAAACCTTTTCAGTGACCAAATATCTTCTTTTTTTCACTTCATATTTGTTATGAGCTCTTTGTGTTTTATAGAAATATTTTTTTCATTTTATTTTTGCTTCCCTTTTTACAAAGAATCTTTTTTTGTTTTTTTGTTTTTTTAAACAATCTTTGTAGAATTGTTGCTCTTAAGATATAACATTTTCTATTCAATATTTAATTTATATTGCAGCCAAATGTTTTGGTTTTTGTCCTTCCCCTATTTGTTTTTTGTTTTGTTTTTTTCCCCTCAACGTTCTCTAGCCAGCTGAGGTTCAACATGACATCTCTTTGCACTACAGGATGCAGCGCATGCTGTGTTTTTGCCCTTAGTAATCAAGCATTTCAATGTCAAATTGTTACTGAATGTTGTTGTATCGTTAACTACAGAAGGGAAGCTGCCTGTCAAAACCATAGCCCAGCCTGAGCTTTATACTTACAAATGAAAGATGAAGGGATCATCATATTTTGCACTCTAATATGCCACTAACTACAAATTTAAATGTACTAACATAGAAATAAAATGTTCATTTATGTCCTTTGTGTATGATACAGGCTTGTAGTGCATGTACATGCAGTACGGCAACATTCTGAGACCACTACCTGCCATATTATTCACTAATGCCAGTTATTGCTTCATGTGAAAATGAGCTTTATTGTTTTAAACTGTTCAGTGTTGTAACTGTGAATGCTCCCTAAGTATTATTTGTTGTGAATGCAAAACTGTTGTGATCTGTGATATCACCTAGGATCTATTTATTATTGTGTTGTTATGGCAACCACATTTAAACCTAAATAAATGTTCAGTATACACATAAATAACAGCGGTTTGGTGTGTCTTTGTACTGATAGACCAGCAGCACTGGAATCGATTAGCTGTCGAAAAACTGACGTAATATTGGCTGTCGTCATCTCAAAGATGGATTGAAGAGAAGACGCATCACTGTGCAGCAATCCAAACAGATTTAAACTTTGGGGGAAAACATCAAAGATTTATCATATTTGCTTCTGAATGGAATTTACCTTCGGTGGGTTTTAAAAGCCCCGTTTCAAAGGATGTGCAAAGATGGTTTTTGCCACATTGATAAAACATTTGACAAAAGACTTACAAAAATTCCCACTGATTCAGTCTATCATTAAAACAAAATCAACCATTATTAAACCGTAACTAACGGAATCCTAAGTTTTGTTCTCTCCTTTTGTATAAGGACGTAAATTTAGTTAGCCAGTCTTACGGGTCCGTCTGTTTTCCCAAATCAACTGTCCTCTCACGTACTTCTTACTTTTATAGGCGATCTTTGACAGAGTTCCGGGATTTGACCACAACAGTAGCGGAGTCCAAGCCATGGCTGAAAACCAGGCAAACTCCACTGAGATTACTGACGAAGGGTGTCTTTTCTGCCTGATAGCGAGCGAAAAAGACAAAGAAGCTGAAGTCATTAAACAGGTAGAGTGAATTGATAAACCCAGCAAACGTGGGAGCGTTAAATGGAACTAGGTGGATTCTTCTGATCCAGGAAGTGTTGTTGAAAAGCATAAACACAGCTGTATTGATTTATGACGTATGTAAGTTTGAGTACGGGCAATAATATGTTTTTCTTGATTTTATATAAGTAACAATTTATATGAGATGTCCAAGTAACACTGTCAGGCCTATTAAAGTTGGATCCTGTTGTTTTTCAGATAACATCAAAGATTTTTAAAGCAATTAGAGCTACTGTAATGATGAGCTGTGAATGATCTCTGATGCTCCTTAAGAGTTGGCAGGTTTGAAGGCCTGGTCAGTCTATAAGGAGACCATCTGTGTGAGCCGGGTGAACGTCTACTTAGATGCTTCATGAATTGTAACTGTTACTGTAATGCACAGTTGTAAATGTGTTTTCATCACAACTTCGACGTGTCCCTTAGTTATTAAGGATATGCTTTAAGAACTACTTTTGTTATTATTTCAAATATGTCAAATGAAAAATAAGATGAAGAGGTTGTATTTCAGAGGTCTTATCACGGGCACTGCTAAATAGTTTAGATGTTTCTCTGTTTTAATCTCTTAAAGAGTAAAGAGCTGGTGTGTTTCAAAGACATCTGTCCTGCGGCTCCTCACCACTACCTTGTTGTCCCCAAGCAACACATCCACAGCTGCCAGTCACTGAACAGGAGACACATCAGCCTTGGTCTGTCCAAAATAAAAATATATACCCGTTTTTGTCCCTCTTCTGCTTTTGTTATTTGACCGCCTGACAATGGGCACAGGTTGGCGGTGCTGCCTGGAAAGAAACTACAACTGTCTGCTATTTTTAACTTTATCTGAGCTATTTCTGAATATGTAGGTCAGTGTGTTTGGTTGCTGCTGTAGGTGTAACGCTTTGCTTACTGTCACAGCTGCTCCCCTGTGGTTTCTTCAACTCTTGTGTGTAAAGTTCTGCTGGTAGGATGACCGATTATCTTTGTCTAATTCGGTTATTGCCATAACAAGTGTTGTATTCAACAGTTGAAAGAATGACCGAACTGGGAAAGGCTGTACTCCGCGAACAAGGGATCACTGACATGGCGGATGTAAGGTAGGTGCAGACAGTTTGGAGTGTGAGATACAGGTAGAGATGGGTTTGCATTGGACAGAAACAGCCTCTCTTTGTCTAGTAATGCCCATTCTTTCACACATACGTCACTGTCAAGTCCAGATGGCCACAGGTACAGATCCAAACAACCACAAGACATGAATGTGACCTTAATCAGAACTAATGAGCCTTTGAAAAGTTGCTGAATGACCCAAAACAACCTTTGGCATCAATTGTGGAACAGGAGACACGGAATTGACTAAATCCAATCAGTTACACTTATGATCCAAGGGAGCTGCAAAATGTAAAATAATTACTATTAACAAGCATAAAGCCACCAAAGGAATGGTGGAAAATGTCAAATAAACAAAAACAAACACAGCGAAAAAACTTAACCATGAGACAAAAGATTGTGAATTCAAACAGGTATTTGCATGGCTATGCTCTCCTGTCCAGGTTTGGTTTCCACAAGCCTCCCTTCATCTCAGTAGACCACCTGCACCTCCATGTGCTCGCACCCAGCAGCAAAATCTCAACGTCCATGATATACAAGTTCACCCCAGGCACTGACTCGTTTGTTACTGTAAGTGCTGATGGCTTCAGGTGTCCTACTCTTTGCTCACATTCCAAAGATCTCTTATGAATAAAAAGCTCACTGTAGTTCTGCCCCTGTTTTCATCATATTTACATTTAGCGTCCTTGATCCACCATGTTGAAACAAATCTTTTTGTCATTATTCTAGGTAGAAAGTCTAACCAAGCATCTGGAGAAAAAGGCTCCACCAGTCCTGTACAATTTAGGGAATTGTTTGGGATTGAGGCTGTAGCTACTGAACTGGACCAAAAGTGACAGCAGACACTGAAACAGCGTGAGCTTCACACCGAAGACCTGGAGGTGTGAATCAAGCAGCAAATTCAGAACCCAGGGAGAAGACTGGAAAAAGATCAGAGGCAAAACAAAGTCAGGATTCTCTAATAATACACACTCGTAGGGCAAGAACAATCAAGATGAATGTGTCTGGATGTACTGTCTACATGAATGAATCCCATTTTTTACATTCATATAATAAGAGGACTGAATAACTGCCAAAACATTGTGTATAATTTGGTTATTTTATAGATTTTTATTTTGTATATTTAATTAAAAGACTTTAATGGGTTGCTGGCTTTTATGTCATGATCTTTGGAGTTAGACATCTGAACGAAGAACAAATCAAGTCATGGAAATGTGGAGAAGGACAGATGGATTAAATCACCAACCATTCAAGTGTCGGATGACTGTTTATTCCAGAGAGAGCTGCCTTTAGCTTTGGCTTTTCTGTGGTCTGTCTTTATTTATTAAAAGCTTTATGTACCAGTTATCTCTTCGACTGTGTTCACATTGCATTACTAGACACGCATTTAAGGACATTGTCAGTGCTCTCTTTAAGCCACTTGATGTCAGCAACGTTTATAACTTGGACACCGGAGGGCTCACACACATCTACAGGCCTTGTAATGTGATTCATTTTTTACTTTTCTCACATCACCAAAATCTTAACTGTGATCTACATGAAAAATGTTTAAAATTCACAAACAGTGCATGTTAAGTTGTCTTAGGAATTCCTTTGGTAGCTTTATCCCAGTTGAAAACTTGAGAGCCTCAAAATGTCTACTTTGTAATGTAGTGGGGTTTTTTATTATTGTTTTTTGTCATGCAATGCTATTTTTGACATAATTCCCAATAATTTTAAACATTACATCCACGCGATTTGTGTTAAGTTGTTACGCAAATGACCTAAATAAGATTATTTGTAAGTGATACACCTTATGTTTTTAAGACGTGACGATAACACCGTGTGAATGGAAGTGTCCAAGAAGTTGTTGATTCTCCCAGTTTTCTGAAGGGAACATAAAGGAGGGGCCCCTCAGCTGGCTGTCCCTCACCACTCCACAGCCCTGTCATCTGAGGCTCCCTCAACTGGAACTGTGCCAAAAATATTTTTTTCCTAATTGAACTGAAAACAAAGTGAGTTTGAGAAACTGAAATGTGAAGCAAAAGAATATTAAAATTAAACCTATATGTTTACCTCATAAAAATACATGAAGCTTAATCTAATTTGATTCATTATATAAAAGTGAAATTTTGTAACAAACTATGCCTTGAAAAATTACTTGGGTTGCTTTTTGACAAATTTCAAGTTTATGAGAGGCAAATGGTCAGTAAAGCGCATTTTTCAATTGGTTTTCAAATGGACAAACAAAACAAACAGACATCATTCTGAAAGTACTCCATACAGCTGAAAGGTCCTCACAGGGAATGCGCTCAGCTCTGCTACTGTACTGACTCGGCTCGAAGGCTCGGTGGTGGCAGGTGAGGAAGATAAATTCTTTCCATTCTGCTCTGCCTCGCCCCCGTCAGCGCTGCGGCGAAGCCCCGCCCCTCCCACAATCAACAACTGGATTCAAGCTATTTGTATTTTCGCCAGCTAGCACTGCTAGCTTGCTAACGATGATACGCTGCGTCCGAGAGAGAAAAAAAAAAGCGAGTTAGGCTATCTTAGTCGACCGAGTGTTTGTTCGTATTAGTTTGAAAACCCGGCAGTATTTTGGTCTTGTCGCCTATGCAACCCGAAGGACTGACGGCAGTGGAGAAATCGACTGGCGCACCGTTTTTTTTTAGCCGTTCCCGAAAGCTAAGCCCTGAAGACCAGGCTAGCTGGTTGGCTGACAGTTGATACGGCTAGTTTTGTGACTTCAGCGATATCGTAGGTGAGCTTTGGTTGATGAAACGATGAGTCGCCCCTGACACCGGTGAGTATAATTAAGAGCATTACTTAATGATACGTGTCATTTTCACACCTTTTCACACGGCTCGCCTTGGCTAGCAGTGAGTGGCTAACCCTCAGCTTGTTTGTAGCGGCGGCTTCCCAGAGCCACGCCTGGGCCATTTAAATCACACTTTGTGCCAGATGCCATTTAAAGAGATTTTTCTTATAAACGCATGAAATAGACTTCGGTGTCCGTGCTAACTAAATGTGCTTATTTGTCCTCAGAGGGTACCGAGGCCCTGCTGGTTGTCACGTTGGAGTAATCAGAGCCCATTACTGAGAAGGTGGGTCTTTGCTAACTCTGCGTTGGAGCCATTGAAGACTAGCGGGGTTTGCCCAAAGTCAGCCGGCTGATGTGCGCTGGTTTCGATCCACCAGATCTGCCAATATGATGCCGGTAAGTGCACAGAAAGCCCGCTCCGCTTTAATGAATAATCGCCCTTCAAGTTTATCCGTTCAGATCACTGCTTTCACATGTATTGATTAGACTGCCTGGTTATGCACGAAATCAAAACTGTGGAAAGCGAAAATGTCACGTCGAACTCCAGAGTAGCTATGGTGCTCCGAAGTAAGGGATAATGTAGCCTGGGACTCTCACATTCATAATGAAAAAATATCTATTATGATAGTTTTTAGAAAGAAGAAAGATAGCATTCTCTGGAGCAAATACACAAATTAAATCATACGAGTTGATGATTAACAAAGCACAAATCTCTCACAGTACACAAAAACCTAAAATTAAAACAAAATCTCCAGCTGTTTGCCCCTTGTCTATTGCAGCTTAGCTAATGTATATGTGATATCAGTTCCTAGAAATAAGAATTTGACCTTTATCCTTTAGTATAGGACTTCATGACTGGAGTCTTTAGTTGCTTATTCACATTTATCTTTAGTTGAGAGGCGGGGTACACTCTGCCTCTCACCTAATGCGAAGGTGTGCGGCCCTCGTCTCAGGGCCGCACAGAGACTAACAACCACACGCTGTTTAAGACAACACAAACAGAAAACTCAAACAAAAATGCAGCCTGATGTATGCTTAATGTGTGTTTGTAGCTAAACTTTTATTCCCTAGCACAATATGTCTTAGCTTATAAATAGAAATTTGTTATCCTTTTTTAAAAAATGTTTTACTTAAGAGCAGATACATATACAGCATTGCCTATCAGCTCTATTTCTATTTGAACCACATACCCTGCTCTCCTTATATAGATTTGAAAAAGTCCTTTCTGTTCTCTTTCTCCTTGGGTTATTGTTCAAGACACTTTGTGTGCCAGTGAATAGAATACCTGAGTGGCAACTCTGTCAGAGTAATGCTTTGTTGGGTTTTTATTGTTGGCTCTAGTGCTGAGGAGGCAGTGACTAATTGTGGGGTGGGGGGGAAACAACTATTGTTCTTTTGGAGGGGAACATGAACTCAAACACAGGATAAGCTTAAAGGTGATTCAGTAAAGCTTCATGATGCTCCATCACTCTTGGCTAGTTATCTCTTCATTTGAACGTGCGTTGGAAAATACGATATCCGAGTGGTTTTCTAGGAGTACAAGGTAGCGCCACATTTCCTGCTGTTGTCAAGTTCTCAGCATAGACTACGACCGTAGACTCGGTGTACCCTGTGGCACTAGCAGGCAGTGAGCCACAGTCAGCCGAGCAGAGAGGCTCTGGGTTCTCGCGTGACTCCAGCAGCCAATGAGACCCTGGCAGATCGCGGTCCGTGGAGCTGCGTCGTTTAAGGCTCTGTTGTTAAGGGGAAATTTTAGAGCCGAGTGGATTGTCAAGTGGCATTAATCTCACACAGTGGACCGTAGCAGTGCATGACTTACAGGAAAAGTAAACGGTGCGTATTAGTGTAGCGCTCCCATTTATCGTGAGGCTTATGGCAACACTAATAAAACCAATATGGTTACATTTTAAATAGCTTTAGCTACTGTACTACCGTACTAAATCTTAAAGAGCACATAAAGAGACAGGTATTGATTTATTTAATAACCCACACTTGTGTAAGACTCTTAGGGTTTTTTTTTATTTGATTTAATAAGCTGTAGAAGTTCACATTATTAATTACACTTGCTGTTCCTCTAATGCACATTGGGCAGCTTTCATTCAAAATAACTTTTTTATTATCTTTCAAGGCTCTGATTCTTTCCCATTGATCTCGTCGGTGGGTTATTTTTCTTTCTCTTCAACACTACACATAATACTTTTCCTGATGACAATGGGAAATTTTAAAGGAGTTGCAGCCTTAGGATGCAGCCTTAGGATGAAATTATTACAGGCACTGTTATTCAATGTTTCGGACAAGTGGCCAACTGATGTTTCTTTTCATTTGCATGTTTTACATCAGTAGGGATAGTCTGTGCATCACTGCAAAAGGTTATGGTGTATTGCTATCTAGCATTGACCGTTTCGGTTCTTTTTAATCAGTTTCATTAAGTAAAGTATGTCATCTCCTCATTTTTAGTCTCAAAACTAAAATATGGCTTTGCAAAGATGTATTGAACTATGTGATATTATCGCAAACTACTTTGAGTAAATAGGTGAAGAAAACCTGAGCATAGATGTTTTACTTAAAGATGCACTCCTCTATTAACACAAGCACAGAATGACCACTTGAGACTATCCCAGAAACTTCTTGAAAACCTTCCCAGTTCTAAAACCGATTAAACCAATTTAGTCTAAACAGGAGTGATGAGGAAGCCTCATGATGGAGGCAGTGTTAGGGCATGGTCACATGCAGCAGCAAGTAAAAATGGGTCACTGATCTTAGCTGATGATGCGATGGCTGATCGAGGGAGCGGAATCAATTCTGATTTTCTGCTCAGATTGGAGTCAGAAACTTTAAAAAAGGATCCGATGCTGCTTCAGGGCTCGATTTTAAAAACCCAGAACAAAACAGCTGCAGCAATGTTCAAAAGCCAGAGAAACAAATTCAATAAAAAACAACCAATCCAAACAGTTCTCGTACAAGATTTAGTTTAATTTTACCCCAGTCATATTTTTGGCATGATGGTTTGTTTTTTAGGGAGTTGGTGTTCTATCAGCTGTGGTCTGAGCCATCTCTCCGGTCAGAGGATGTTTAGATGCGTTTCTTTTCTTTGGTTCAGAAACGCAGTCAGCCACCTGACCTCAAACAACTGGAGCATGCTTTTCTCTTGCTGAAAGCAAAATTAAGAATCCTGTGTGAAACAGAACAAATGCAGTCCTAGCCAAGACGGACGGACGTGTGTGAATTGGATGTTTCATGGCTGTGCGTCACTGGGGGAGCTTCATGTTGTGGGCACAATTGAATATGTAGATGTTGCAAAGAGCATTAATGATCACTTGGTCAATATTTACTCGTGTTTTAAGGGAAGGTCTCACCATATAGTCGGAACGTTGCTTTGCTTTTTATCAGTACTTTTTTTGGTCGTTTTTTTTTCTCCATTGTTAACACACAACGCATTTAGGTCAGTCTACAGGTACCTGACAGGCTGTCCTCCTTTGAATTAAACAATGAAATAAACAAGAAATTAAGGTGTGTTGTTTAAGACGTAAGGGAGTTTCAACAGGTTCCTTTATTATATTTTATATTATTCTATTTTTAATAAATGGTGGTTTTTAGAGTGCGGCCAGGTTTTAAGAGGCCATTGTCAGTGTCGATGTTTTAGAAAACATTTGTCTGCCAGATGTCTTTATGTGTTCAAAGAAACGGTGTAAAACCGATCCCCTTCACACCTTTGTTTGATGGTACCCTGACCTGTCTGTATTCCTAAACAACAACGAGCCACCAACTCATCCCGGCTGCACTTCTCCAATAGGAGCCCTTGTCGTTGCTCTCGGACGCCCACCTCACCTCCTGGTGACTCTTGATGGTTTTTTACACTGGCTCTTTATGTCTCTCGCTCTCTCTCTCTCTCTCTCTCTCTCTCTCTTTCTCTCTACCCCCCTCCCTTCCTGCACTGCACATCTAGCTTTTTTTTCCTCCCAAGTCTCCTCTGCAGCACTTTTCTAATGATCATACTGCTGTCGGGTCTGGGGATCCGTTCAGGAGGGCACAACAATTAAGTCTCATGACTGAAAAGCAGCTTCTCTATGATGAAGCGCTTTGTGACTGTGGTGCTGCGCGGCCTTGTTAGCCTCTCCAAGGAGAGCCCCATGTGGGCGAAGGAGCTTCACCGGCCACCAAAGAAGGAGATCAAGAGGAAACGGAGAGTGGTCAGGAGAAACAGGAGCATGGGCAGACGCAACTTAGTGAGGGCGGTTGGTATTTCTCCGGTTGTTTCTAATGAAGGTCGCTGGAGATTTTGTCTTCATGCATACTCGCATCATTGCATATATTTCAACTCTGTAAGGGTGTTGTTCATTTTACTGGAGTGTCTTTTTCTTTTTTTCAGTTTTAAATGAGCCCATAATTGCACCTCGGCTGTCTCCTTGTTTGGGTAGTTGGAGGTTTGCTTTGACATTTAGTTGTTTTGTTCTGGTAATTACAGTTAAGCATATGTATTCATATGAAGGCTCAGTAGTTGTATTGGTCCAACCAAAAGCATAAAAAATGTCTGGATTCTATTAGGTGTTGTTGCAACCCCATTGGGCTGCAATGTGGTCATTTCATGTACCATAGTACCTTAATGCATTTTATTATGTTGTTTTGGCAGTATCCTATAGCTGTGGCAACATAAGTCTGTCTTGAAAGACCTAACTAGCTACCATTCTGTCAGGGTTCTGTTTCACTGGTTTACTTGTTTGTCCCAATCAGGCTTTAAAATGCAAAAAAACATTAGTAAAAGAAGAGTAAAATAAGGTGTTGGCGTTTGCCATGGCACTATTGTTTTAAAATCTTCAGCTTCTGTTGTATATAAGCTTATACTCGGACGAGGCGACACAGGCTCCCAAGTGCAAGTGATCTCATTTTTTCATTCAGGCTGCTGCTGAAAATGTCAGTGACTCGCAGGGTTGCATCGTTCCAAAGCATGAGTCACTTTGTCTCTGGGAGTCACAGTCTATAGGTATCTGAGTGACTAAAGCTGAATTAAATATGACAGGGATGTGTTCTGGCAGTAACTGCTGCTCTGCAAACGTCCCTTGAAGCTATAAGTGATGATTATGGCTCTATATGGTTCATTATATGCAATTAAAAAGATTGTGTGCTATTGTTGTTGTTTTTCTTTTTAAAGTGGTAGCAACATGTTTTCGTAAGATTAATTAACCCTTCACTCTGGAATGTGGGTGTGTACGAGCTGTTTGATTGAGGAGTTTCGTAATTTCTTTTCTCACTTTAATTTTTCTTTTGTGGTTCAACGGAGGTGACATGAAAGACATTCATCTACGTTATTTGTGTCTTGCATTCGGAAGCTTTTCTTTTTTCCTAATTAAAGCCTTTCATGTTGTGATATTTCATATGCTAAAGCGTATAGAAAAAAATGCCTGCCCAGGTGTAACAGGTTATGCCAGAGAGCTGATTGCCTTGGCATGTTTCACTTTTCAGAGCCCAGTTTGCTTTTGTTGATTAAATACCACCAAAAAAACATCATGAGTAATAACATTTTACTTTTTATTTAGGGATTTTAATGTGCATATTTTACTAAAACTAGATTTAGAAGTTTTTCAAACATGCCACATATTTTTCTTTTCTTTCTTTCTTTCTTCTTTGGTCTTTTTTTCTGTTCATCTCCACACAGCCCCATTTATATGCTGACTGAGGCCTGTTTAAAGCAGGAAGGCACTCCTCACCTTCCACAGAGCTCCATGCCACAGGAAACTCTGCCCACCCGAAGGGAAAATGTTTTGTGTACAATAGATTTGCCTGAGTAGAGTTTCCATATATATTATGTGTGTTCCCCCAACACAAGATAAAATGCACAAATGTCTAATTGTTTGAAAAACATACATCGTTATGATGTGTAATGTTTGCAGTTTAGGGTTTAATATTCAGATCAACAATGGTCAACGCCATGTTTGAGAGAGAACTTTATTTCTCCATCGGACGAAGGTGGAGGAAAGCAATCATTGCTACCTATTAATGTTTGACATGCAAGCTGGGATCTGGAGCATGGGCAGAGGGAGAAACCTTCCCATTTTGGTCTCAGGCTGGTATCAATTTTCTAAAAATGGTCAAATACAGATTTATTTTTATTTTTTTTACGACAGTGTAGACAATCATAAACGTTTCCCCCGGCAGATGTGTTGTAATCAGCAGGTCATTTCTTTGCAGTGTCTGACCTTCTTAGATCTTACAGATGAGCTTGGATCATCTTTAGTGATTTTTATCACAATGTGAATTAATTTGTGGTTGACTTCACTTATGCTCAAGTAACCTTGGCCACATTGAATTGAAGAAAAAATGTTTTTGTACATTTCCTGAATTTTTATCAGTTGCATTACTTATCTTTATTTACTTATTTATCCTTTAAATCAAAGAATGAAAGAACTGTTCAGGCCACTGAACCAGTTTAATCTAAAGATGTCTTATTCATGAACCTGAGCTTTTATCAATATTTCAGAAGTTGTGTTTGGTTTAATTGTGTATACTGTAAATATCGATTGAGGTAAATTATATAAAGTCTCACTTTAAAAAAGTCATCTATATCTGCTTCTATGAATTGTATTCTTACATAAGTGAAGTTGAAGCATATGGGAGCATGCATTGCTGGTTTAACTTTTTACTCTGAACAAACACTGTCTACCCAGATGCTGTCGGCACAGTGGGCTTTGTGCTTCAGGATTAAACCTCATCCTTAAACTGCAGTACCACAGAATGACGTACTCCATCTTTTCTTCTGTGTTTAGCCTTCTAATGTTGTGTCATTTGCTTACTAGTTCTCCCTCTCCTTGTTTTCTTTGCCATACAGATGATATTGACGGTGTACCTTAGTGATGGCGAACAGGCTGCTACCGAAGTACCAATCACACCGGAGACAACGTGTCGGGATGTGGTCGAGTTCTGCAAAGAGCCCGGTGAGAGCGGCTGCCATCTGGCTGAGGTCTGGAGAGGCAACGGTAAGAGCTGCTACAGAGCTGTTCTTTGCTTGTTACGGAGCCTGTTTACCAGCTGATGAATGAAAAGGTGCCCTTCATTTGTGAGAGATGGGTTTAGAGCAGGGCCTTTAATTTGCTGAGTATGATGAAGCAGAGCATTAGAAAGAGGAAAAAATGCATCCCTGAGTACAGGCATTTACGTCATGTGCAAATGCTCAGGTCAGAGAAGGGTTACAGTCGGCTTCAGTCCGCAGCTCCGTCACAACAGATTCCGATGGGGCTGAGTGATTTTGCACCCATCACGTGGCTCTGCTTACACATGTTTTCATCTTCTTTTTTTTTTTTTTTTGAAAGACCACTCCCCAGCATCCTAGCCAGAGGCTTTATTACAACAGATTCTGTGTTCAAGTTAAGCTAGTGCCTGAAACTGCAGCTGTCTGATCCCCAGTTCCTTATTAAACATGTATTTTATTCTCTTTGCAAAGACTTGGTTATACCCCTGTAGTCTAATGATTTCAGCAGCGTCGCCCCAGGGTGTCATATGTTCACGTGTGTGTGTGGCATGCTGCTTTTCCCTCACAAAGTTCCTAAAACGTGAGCAAAAAAGTTAGAGCTCTGCTTTTCGCAGTTGATTTAGTTCAATTTGCCCCTTCAGCTGTGACCTTCAGCGTTCAATGGAGCAGTTAAGGACCAGTGTAAAAGTCAGCCCCTAAGAGTCTGAGGCCATGCTTCTCAGCCAGGAACGAGCGGGGCCTTCCTCCAGTCTGGAGGATGGATACTTTGCTTAATATCTCAGGATGTTCGTACAGAATGGGGTTTTGTCAGGAGGAAGGCCAGTGTCGTGTTGCTTCATTGTGGTTAAGAGGGAGCTAAGCTAACTTCTGAAGCTTTTTTTTATTTTTAAATTGATTTCTTTTCTATTCTAGTCATTTAACACTTACCAAAATAACTAGGTCGATAACATTATCTTGGTTTCCCTCCTGGAACCTCTTCCTCTGCAGCCCATCATCATCAGAAAATCAGATGGAGAGATGCTTTTTGTCCTAAAGTCAGGATAGATTAGGTTTGGCATTACATCCATGATGAAAGCTGGCTAACACAAACCTATAAAAAGCACAAATGTCTTCTTTCCCCTTTGCTAACTTTGTGAAGTGAAGCTTTTAAGTGGCTCACAGAGCCAGGCGTTTGGCTCATAGCGGGGACCCCTCATCAGATAGCATCTGATCATCCTGTTTCTTCTTTCTTAAACTTTTCTGCTGTTTAGAGCGAGCGATCCCTTTTGAGCACATGATGTATGAACATCTTCAGAAGTGGGGACCCCGAAAACAAGAAGTTAAGTTCTTCCTCAGGCATGAAGATTCACCAACCGAGGGCAGTGAACAAGGTGTGTGCACTGCGGAGCCGTCTCCTCCAGACAGCTTTCACGTTTCTATTGTCTTTTTCCTTTTTCTGCAGGAGCTGGGGTAAGATTACAACAGTTTTAATCCCTAATCCTTTGCTGTTAAGTATTTAAAAGCAGTGGTAGAATGGGAAAGGAACGTTTAATCCATACTTAACGGAGGTCATTTGAAAGAAGTTTAGACTTGCACTGTATTAACGTGAAACTTTTGTTGTATCCGTTTGGAGCAAATAGAGGTCAAAGGGCAGGTCAGGAATAAAACATCATTTCAATACAATAACCGACTTTAAGTTCCACATACAAGAGCCAGGAGTTGGGTGGTTGTGGAATTCTGGGCAGATATTGATTGTAAAAGTGATTATCTGGCCAATGGCCTCTACTTTTGATGCCAGGGAAACCATGACATCAGCATTTATATTGTATTTCATCAACTCTACCTTTTTTCTAAATAAACACACATTTATTTACATTTATTAACTGATAATAAAGAAATAGAATATTGTTTAACCATTACTAACTAACCATCGGTAACTTTACTTATTAAAACAAATCAATAAAATGGAAATCAATTTACTTAGAATTTTTTTTTTGGGCTAAGTGGATGCAACACAACCAGGAAGTGCCAAATAAAGGTGGCTTTCTGCCATCCGTTGATGTTATCCTAAATTAAAGTCACTGCCAACTAGCTGAAACAGATATTAGGCCAATATATCAGTGCCGACATTAACTGGTCCTCAAGATAAAAACAGACTTTGGTGCATATACATATTTGATATATATTGTATTTTCCTGTCCTGGGTTTTTGATGGTAGATCTTTTTGTTTTGGCAGGGAGTCAACCATCTCAGGATCAAACAACACACAGAAGTGGAAATCCTGGAGAGAAGCACAATGAGAACGGGGTAAGAAATAACACACCACACACCGACATGCTATGTTTATATAGGTTTATATTTCAGCATAAACAGTGAGCATTAAAAGAAAAAAAAAAACTAGACTAACTTTCCAAAAGGAACTGTATAACATGTTCATGTCCCTGTCCAGAATGATAATGATTTAGTCTCTGTTTGGAAAATTAAATTTGTCTGTTGGCTTTTTCTACAAAGTGAGAGCCTGGTGTTTCAATCTCACTTACTCTCCAGACATCGTCTGTATTTTCATGTTTGGTGTACTCAATGTTTTGATGTTCATTTTGCTCGAGGATGTGTCCACCACCAGATGTGAATGACTCTGGTAAGAGCCGCCTCTGGCTCAGCATCCTTTCTCTGCCTGACAATCTGTCCCAGATTTTGCACTATCAAAGTGTTGTGGTCAAGGAATTCTAACTAATTGAACCTTCAGGGTTAAGAGAACCCAGCTCAGCAGAAGATGGATGGAGTGAGTGAGTCTTGTGGTACTAGAACACCCTGGAGCATTTGGCTTTTAATTACCCTAAATCTCAGCCTCCGTTTCATTTTGGGGTTGAGCATCGTGTTGCTTCGGTGGTTTCGTTTTGCCATTTTCAGATTTGAAAAAAAAAAAAAAAGTGAAATACAACTGAACCTTTAAACACATAGTTGCCAAATTGTAATGAATTGTGACGCTAATGTATAGAATGTTTTCCGACAGCCGTTTTCTTGGTTGCATTTACGTCAATATCTTTCCAATTTTACCATCTCAGAAACACCCTTTTGTCAACACCGAATACGAGATTTGATATAAAAAAGGATTCAATAGATTTAGTGAGGTTGCAAAGAAAAGGTATGCCTTTGCACATTATATAGAAACAGAGCACATAGCAGAGGTGTGACATAAAGTTAGATGGAGTGATAAAACAGAATCTGTGGGAATGAAGTGCAGAAAAGGACAGCTCGTGGCCCAAAGCGCCGCTGTGTCAGACAAGGCGATGGCATGGACATATTTACCACATTAGGATTTATGGAGGATTTCATCACTCTCAGAAGTGCCAGCATGAATTTAAAGGTGCAGTCTGCTGGCTCGGATTCAGACTGGTGCATCAAAACTGGCCTCACAGCATTTCATCACTTAGCTGCTTAATTTTGAGAATTAATTATTCAATCCATCAGCTCCTCAATGCTTTCTCCCCTTGAAAAATGATAGAACAGCTCTGCAGTTATAAAGCATCCAGCAGGTAGATGGCATGGTCCTAAGGTCGTTCCACACTATGTGCATGACTTGGGTAGTCTGTTACAAATCAGTACAATTCTTAGATGATGGTATGATTCCCCAGAAGGACAAGTGGCAGCACCCCCCACCCCGCTCTGTTTCTCCCTCGAGTGAGTTGTCACTGATTCGGTGTTCCTTAAAGTGCACTGGAGCGTGCTGCTGTGTGTTTGTGTGCCAGTGGCTTCCTCTTATCTTCCCACTGTGGCTGTGGATGATTTGTCCCGCCTCTCCCTTCAGAGTCCTTGTAGACTGTGAAAACCAAAACAAATGACAGGTAAGGAAAGCCTGCTGTGTCATGGGGGCTGGACTGCAGAGGAGACCTGCTGTGCCCCCAGCCTGTACAACAGAAGTCCAAACCGTTCAGTCAGATGAGAGGAGGAAAATCTGCCTCTGGCTCTATTTTTCCTTCCTTGTTTATTTCACCTTCAATTTCAGTGATTTACTCATGTTTGGGATTATCTCAAACTGTAATGCATACACTTACATTTTGTAAGCCTCTTATGAGTCTCTACACCAGTGAAGAAGGCTCTCTCTGGACCAGTAATATCCTACTGTGACATTTGTGCCATCATCTCCTGCCTCAGAGCATCTTTTCTGAGCGCATTGCAGTAATGCTTGTGGTTTAGAGGAGTGTGTTCTCCCCATTTTCTTTTTCACTGAAAGTTGTTTTTATAGCTCGCTGCCAGTGCAGGAGACATTCAGAAGTTTGATTTGGGCGGAAAATCGAACTTAAAGTATTAGAAAAGGAGTTTGTTTTCCTCTGCAAGCCCTGAAAACATCCCGTGGGTGCCGATCCTGGAAAAAAAGAGGAACTGTTTGTGAGGTGAACCCTTTATTTCTATTGCAACAACACGCTTTTTACCAGAAGGCTGTTAGGATTTAAGCTTTGTTGGTTCGACAGAAAACTGCTGGTTTTTGTTTTGACAAATCTATACTTGCATTCATTTTTTTTTAACAAACTGAGAATGCACTTACAGTTTTTTTATTTATTTAGCTATTTATGTTAAGGCGTTTTTTGTGTTGAAAAATAATCCACTTCATCAATTGGAATGTGTCATTTGGAATGGAAAGCTTCAGAAGAAAAAATGGGATATTTGTGCACCATTATTGTTTTCATACCATTTGCTCTTTCATTTAGATGGAAACTTGTCATCAAACCAGTGCCGCTTTCTGTTTAAACGCTGAGACGAGCCATGTTTAATTTTGTTCTTACAAGTTTTCCCTCAAGTGTTTCCGTGTACTTTCCTAATGCAGTAGCCTTTAGTAGCAGTCAGGATGACGCAGCACCCCAACCCAGACCCTGACGGTTTGAGCTGTTTAAAAATCCCTAACTCTGTCTGAATCAGTGGTTTTAGCATCTCAGTGGGCGTCAACATCAGGATCACTCTTCATATTTGACTGTCTTGACCTTCCCTTGTGTGTGTTTTGTGTAGGTGGGGAATCAGCGTGTGGAGCTCACACTGTCAGAGCTGCAAGAGATGGCTACACGCCAACAGCAACAAATAGAGGCTCAGCAGCAGATGCTGGTCGCAAAGGTATTGCCTCATTCTTTATTTTAATGCTGTCCTTAAGGTGTGCTTTATTTGTATCTCTGACTGTAACTGGTGGAGCTGATTTTTCGTGACACTTTCTACAAGCTGGAAAGTCTTCCTTCTTTTCCAGTTCATAAAAGTATTAATTCTGGCATTAAAATTTATGTAAATAAATTGGACATTCCTTTAAAGCTTTAATGCACTGCTCTACATCTCTGGCAAAGCCCCTTTTAGGTGGCTTTCCTGTGGGTTATCAACAATATTTGGAAGCAAGGTCTGAGCTTTGAGAATTCCATTCCTAATCAGTAAGGGTGTGTTATAAAAGTTTCAAACTATGAAAAGTATTTGCATAACGAATTGCACTACGGCAAACTCATTATTGCTTCCCCAAGAAATGCAAAAGGAAGCTCTGAAATCACGTGTTAATCCAGACTTTTTTTGTGTATGTCCGAGGACATGGTGAGTTATCAGTGCCACCAAACATTAATGCAAATCGAGATACAATGAGAAAACAATCAGTGCAATCTAGAATATGCATGGAGTTATAGGGGGGAAAAAGATAATTTAAATAGGCTAAATTTAGATATCCGACGACAGCAGGGACAAGTGACTTGTCAGTTTGGGGTTTTATGAATCTTTGCTCTGATGCTCTCAGCAGAGAGAAGTCGTTGCATTTTTACACACTCTCAGCTCTTTGCGTTGTGGGAGACAATGGGCAAGCTACAGTAAGCAGATGATTATTTTTGGCATACTGAAGATTCAGCATTTCCATATTATACCAAGTTTGCATATTTCATTCAATATCTTTGCTACATCAGTACATGGAGCTGATGGAGAGCACTTTTTTTTTTATTTTTTTAAAGATGGGGAATGCATTCAGTGAAGGAGTTTAAAGTTGCTCCTCTTTCAACTCATTTGGAAGTTGAACAAGAGTACCGATGCAGTAGTCATATCCCAAGAGTCTGCCATGACCTTAAACTGTGGCAACAAATTATGTAACAAATTAGATGGGATGCAGTTTGAGTGAGGGTGCTGGCATAGTCCCATCTGTCAGAAATGATACTCAAGTCATGATATGAACACTTGCACAGATACAGAGCATGGAAAGCACTGGAGAACATCAAATCCTGAAAAAGTGATTTTATATGGTCTACTTTTTCGATGATGTAGTCGATTGGAAGCATTCAGTCAGTTTTGGTTTAACTCTGCGATGCTGCCATTCCTCTTGAAGTGGAATGGACAGGAGCAGGCCTCCCTACAAATTGTCTGCCTTGTCACTCCGTGTCGTTTCGGTCTGAACCGCGTGCTTGTGGCTCGCTGATCAGTCATGCAGGATGAAGCCACTGTAAAGACCGTTTATTGCCTTTGTGGTGGCGTCTGAAAAGTAGGCCCGCGTAAAGCCCTGCAGTCATTTGGAAACTTGGGCTTTTCATTTCCTATTTTAGGACCCTATCTGGAGCAGTTCTCAGTTGGGTAGAGATGAAGTCATTGACCCTTTCGTCAGCCCTTAGACCGCCCTGACACAGTGCAGCATATCATTTAATACAAGCAGTCGACCGATTATCCCTATTTTACGTCTGTCCACCTCTTTTTTTTTTTTTGAGCTTTGGGGTGGTGACTTTTAGAATAATTCTGTATCTGTCATATTGGGCTTATAAAAGATGCACTGAGCAGATAGTTTCCTAAAACGTGACGATATGATGTATCCTCTGAACTTTGTATTCCCCTGTAAAATGTCAACCCCTGCGTCACTCTAAAGGAGCAGCGGCTGCGTTACCTGAAGCAGCAGGAGCGGCGTCAGCAGCAGACCGTGTCGGAGAGTGAGAAGCTGCAAAGGCTGAAGGAACGTGTGGAGAGCCAAGAGGCAAAGCTCAAGAAGATTCGGGCAATGAGAGGCCAAGTGGACTACAGCAAGGTCATCAATGGCAACCTGTGTATGTCCTTCAGATTTCTCCTCTTTACAGGCCAATAGACATCATGTGTTGCAGCTGTTATGAAAAATGGATGCATTTAAAGACCTGCTGGGATCTCTCTATTGGTTTATGCAGCAGCAGAGATCGAGCAAGTTAGCGGCCTGTTCCAAGAGAAGCAGGCTGAGTTGCAAGCGGCGGTGCTGAGGGTGGAGCAGCTCAGCCTGCAGCTGGAAGACCTGCGCAGGGGCAAACTCAACGGCATCCAGACGGGCCTGGGTGGCCAAGTTACCGGCGCAGCAGCCCTGGAGCTCCGTAAGCTGTACCAGGAGCTTCAGGTAACGCTCTGCCTGCTCTTCCGTTTACTGAACAGCGGCAGTTTGTTTACCATCGCTTTCGTTGTGCTCAGATTCGGAACAAGTTGAACCAGGAGCAAAACAGCAAGCTGCAGCAGCAGAAGGAGCTTCTGAATAAGCGCAACATGGAAGTGACGCTGATGGACAAGCGCATCAGCGAGCTGCGAGAGCGCCTCTACAAGAAAAAAGCTGAGGCACGTCAAAAAGAGAACCTTCCTGTAAGACCAGGACCACTTGACTCATCCTGTCCTTTTGGTTGAAATGCCTCTCACAGAAGTTGTTTCCTTTTTAAGAAATCCCTTTTGAAGTAGAAGTTAATCAATATTAAGTGAAAAATTTTAGCTTTTTAAATCTCTTAAGTTCCCTCAGATCTCTATAGAATTGTAGTGGTAAGAAAACTATTAATTCTTTAGTACATTTCTTCTCACTTCACCATGTGAAATTGACTCTCCTCCTAACAGCTGAATAGAGCCAATGGGCCTCCCTCTCCCCAGCCAGTTCCTGGCACTTTGGGTCGTGTTGCAGCTGTTGGGCCATATATCCAGGTTCCTGTACCAAGTCGACAGGATGGGGGCTACACCATGCCACCAGATCCACTGAAGCCTCAAACTTTAAGTGTTAATAACCAAGCTAACCAAGGCCGCCCCAAATCAGGTTGGTTGACGCCTATCTTTACAGGGCATCTGTTTGTAACACTTGGAGAAAGACTTTTGCACATGTCATAACAGACAGACCGCCTCAGGGTCGTGGGCTGTCAGAAATCAGTCTTAAGATGTTTGGTCTGACTATGTCCAAAATCTACACACATAGCTGTTCAGTCAACATTCGAAGCCGGTGTTTATGCCTGACGGTTGTTCAGAAAGAGACGTGCATTAGTTTGTTTGAAGACATTTAAAAATGCTGATATTACCATGCATCCGGCTTAAATCTCAACACTATTCAAGCAAAACGTCCTGCATGAACCGTTCGACTTTTATATTATCTTGTGCCCCAAACTGTTTCTTTCCTGAACTCGCAGTTGGTTCTCAACCAGAACTTAACTTCTGTGACTTCTTTTTCCTTCCCTCTAACCTCGCTCTCTTCCTGTGTTGTCACCTGTTTTTTCCTTCCTTGTCTCTGTGGTCTCTTATGTGTCTGTGCTGTACTCTCTCTATAACATCTGCCTTTCAATGGGGGTGGGGATGGGGGCAACTCTTCACCCTGGGCAGACGGTGTGCGAAAGCCTCACGGCCCTTGGAAAGTGTCCGATTTAGACATCATTGTGGACCCGGTTTCCCAGTCCCTCCCAGAATCGCACCCGGGCCCTGGAGCCTCCACTGGCTCTGACGGCACGTCCCGTGAGTGCACTGAGCTGCATAAGCTAAAAGGACAGCACCTACTGAACCTCATCTCTCGATTGTAGCACAGGATCCTCAGCATGCATTGAAAAAAAAATTCTGCCTATTTAAAACCATTTTATTGGATTTTCTTAAACATAATTTGTCATTTAATCCCAGTAAATTCTGGATTGAATCAATGTATAGGGGTGCTTTTGCCAGTAGCAGCACGAGCCCCTTTCGCTCGTACCATTTCCAACTGGTTTCATTCTGTATTCGGATTGGGCCGTGATGACGTTGCTCCGACAGTCTCCGTTCCATCATTAAGCTCTGCTGCCTGTGCTGTTCCGATCAGTGTTTCTAAACAGCAGATACAGGTGGTCCTATCTTTTGGAGGGTTTTGTTTGTCATGTGGATTTGCGTAATGCGGTGGTGAAACACTGATGCGCGCTTGACTCGACATCATCATTATTCAGCCATGCACTGCTGATCCTGTGCGTTTTTGTACACTTCTGAGAAGGTTCGAACAGTTTGGTGCCGTTGGAATTTCCATATGTAAAACAATCCATTATCTTGTGGCTTTATTCTGATTTCATAACATCCCCAGGTTATTTATTGCAACCCTAACCTTCACAAAACATCCTTCAAACAGGCAAGCTGTGAAAGCACTCACAGTTGTCAACATGCACAAGGACTTCAACTTGTGCATGTTAAACCATCTCTGAATTTCACAAATAGCTATTTTCTCTTGATAATCAATGAAGAGCCAGTTCAAAATGTTTCCTTTAGGAGTCTTGATTGTTGAAAAAGTTACGTTTATTGTTGAAATGTACAGCTTTTCCATCAGTGTTTTTGTGGAAAAGCATGTAAATGATCGACCTGAAATGGGCTCATTCCATGATATAGCACATGCTGGCTCACTGTCATGGTTTTCAGGAGTTATTAACATTGTTTCCCTCGACCTTTATCTGCTCTGCCAAGTCGGGCATAAAAAAAAGATCCATGACTGTCCAATCATATTTGTGCTGAGGTCTTGAGCACGTTGTTGGTCCGCAGCACAACAGCTGCATGACAGTTTGTCATCAGACGTGAACTTTTCTCAGTCTACCACATCCACTTTTGTTCTGTCTTCTCTCTTTTTTCTATCCCTTTTCATTCTTCTGTCTACAGGCACAAATAAGTTTTGCAAAAGATAATTCCATCCTAAATCTAAAGCCGTCTTATCTTGAATCATCTACCAGCTCTCAGTGTAGTTACTAATGGTCTCAGTTTGAGAGCAATAACTAAACATTTATGCATACATGTGCATTCCCATCATTCCTGTGAAGGTTCAGGATTTTGGTCCTATTGATTAGTTGTATAAATTCCCACAAGCACAAAAGCAGAATTGTGTGTGTGTGTGTAAATGTCACTTTATGGTGACTGAATGATTGAAAAGTTTTTTAAAAATCCTGAACCCTCCTGTCCAGTGTTATTTAAAAACCTTCACTATTATTCTCTACCATGTGGTTAAATGAAAGAAACAAGTCCGGTAATGGAATCTGCTCACTGGCAGCACATTCACTGTGTCCTCTTTGTGCACCAGCTAATGACACTGGTTGGCCAACTGTGGGAAAGGCCAGCACCACTCTAAAGCCTCCTGAGAGGAGAGACTCAGGGACCGACACCCAGGGAAAGAGTCCTACCTCAGGCTCCCCCATCACTCCCAGTGCAGAAAAGGTAAGTCTTGCTTAATACCCTCATTGAGGCATATAAGCAGTGCTGTCTTCATTCCCTGGTGTTTTGTTTTTTCCAGGTGCTAGATTCCAAAATCCCTAGCTCCTCTCCGGCCATACCCAAGCCACAGCCACCACCATATGGATCCCACCTCACCTCCTCAAACACAGCCAGCTCCCTGGAGCGCCGCAAAGATGCGCCTCCCCCTCGCCCACTCCCAAACCCACCGGCCCCCGCATGGCCCCGCGCCCCGCCCCCCACAGGCTCATCCTCCCAGCAGATACAGCAGCGTATATCAGTGCCACCAAGTCCCACCTTTCAGCCCAACACTCCCCTTTTCCCTCCCGGGCTGAGCGAGCGTTTGGACCCTCCACCAGCTGTGGCGGTGCGCCCCTTCATTCCAGATAGGGGGTCACGGCCTCAGTCGCCCCGTAAGGGCCCACCTACTGTAAACTCCAGCTCCATTTATCACATGTACCTCCAGCAGGCAGCACCAAAGAGCCAGCCGCTCAAGCCTGCACTTAAAGCAGGTCAGGGCTTTGAGAAATTGTTTGATTTAGATGAGAATACTGTCATCAGTTGAAATAATAACAAAAATGAATGTCTCTACTTGTTTCTAGTGTATGGGAAGCCTGTCCTCCACCCCAGCTCGACACCTCCATCGCCTCTGCCTTTCGTCCAGACAGGAGGGGCCTTCCCATTGCTCCAAGTCCAGCCGGGTGGTGACGATGCGTTAGATGGAGAATTTGATGATCATGAGAGCTTCCAGCACCTGGAGCCGTCAGCACCTCCACCCAGTGTGGAGAACATCCCACGACCACTGAGCCCTACAAAGCTAACGCCTATGGTACATTCTCCACTGCGCTACCAAAGTGACGCAGACCTTGAAGTGCTCAGGAAAAAACTGGCAAATGCTCCAAGACCACTCAAGAAGCGCAGCTCCATCACAGAACCCGAGGGTCCCAGCGGACCCAACATTCAGAAGCTGCTGTACCAGAGATTCAACACGCTAGCAGGAGGTATAGAAGGGAGTGTTGTGGGTGGATCAGGAGGGGGTAATGGCACAGGCACTGGTACACCATTTTATCAACCCGCTCATCCTCCTGGATATCTGGGAGGTGATTCTCTGGCTGATACAGACAATGGAAACCTCCTGTCTGAGACGCCGTTGGCACCGCCACCAGGAGAGGAGGACGGGGGTTCTGAGGCTCCAGCCAAAACAGCGGATCCCAACGACAATGAGCCAGTGCCCCCTCCGCCACAAGGTCCCGTGGATCCTGCTGAGGCAGAGGGACCAGAAGATGACAACAACAACAATGTGGGAGGCTCTGAGGCGTCTCTGCCCAGCCCTGTTCCAGAAGTCAGCACTCCGGAGGAGAGCGGCGTGGCAGTCTCACAACAGTTGGTGAGAAATCGATCCACGCAGATTTGTTTTTGCGTTTGTGGCAAATTCCCCCTTTGACAAAATCACATCTCCCCTCTCCATTGTCAAAGGAGAAGCGCACAAACCTTAAGAAGCCGAACTCTGAGCGCACTGGTCATGGCTTCAGGGTGAAGTTTAACCCTTTGGCCCTGCTGCTCGACGCCTCGCTGGAGGGAGAGTTTGACCTGGTTCAGAGAATCATCTACGAGGTATTTCATGGGCACCATTTATACTGACACGGGCACTCATTCATCTTTTTAATGGGGGTTCTCGCTTTTTATTCTAGGTGGAGAATCCCAGCACTCCAAACGATGAGGGGATCACCCCACTGCACAACGCAGTGTGTGCAGGGCACCACCACATAGTCAAGTTCCTGCTGGATTTTGGTGTGAATGTTAATGCTGCTGACAGTGACGGATGGTGAGGATGAACTGTCTGAACATGGGCCCTGAACGGCATCTTCTGTTGCATCCCTTTCAATTTCTGCTTTGTTTTTTTTGTTTCCCCCCCCCCATTTGTCTTAACTCGAGCAGGACTCCTCTTCACTGTGCCGCCTCCTGCAACAGCGTCCATCTCTGCAAGCTGTTAGTGGAGTCAGGGGCCGCCATCTTTGCCAGCACCATCAGCGACGTGGAGACTGCTGCAGACAAGTGCGAGGAGATGGAGGAGGGCTACATTCAATGCTCCCAGTTCCTTTATGGTGAGATGCAGCACACCAATAAGTTAGCATCTGAAAGTAAAGAAACGTTATTTAATCAAATTCAGCATTGCATGTTTCAATTATTCACTCATGAAGAGATGTGGACTCTTTTGTGCAGGAGTCCAGGAGAAGATGGGTGTAATGAACAAGGGGACAGTGTACACTTTGTGGAACTATGAATCCCAGAATCCAGATGAGCTTTCATTTAAGGAGGGGGACGCCATCACCATTCTGCGACGACAGGACGACAGTGAGACGGAATGGTGGTGGGCGCGGCTGGAGGCCAACGAGGGCTACGTGCCCCGCAACCTGCTGGGGGTGAGCGTTTCGATTGGCTCCTCACCTGAGTGTCTTACAGCCAGAAAGTCAGAGCGTGGTTGTACTTTTCCAGTGTCCTGATTGATTTATTTCCTGATGGATGATGGAGAAGTGCAAGTACTAAAGGCACTGTTTGCTAAGTATTTTTCTGACCAAATGGCACAGTCACTGCAGCTGAAATCTGACTTTACGTAACCTAAATTAACCGAAGAACGGGTGGTATTCTATAGGTTGGCTGAATTCAGTTACACAATTCAGAGGCCTTTTTAAGTATTTAATGATATCATAGATATGAGTCATGAAACACTTCTAAAGGACAGCAGGTCTGTTTTTCTTTATTTTTTTTTACCTTTTCCATAAATGACAAATTATGCTGTTACTATTTTCCATGAAGTTTAAAAATCCGAATTTCTCTGTACCAAAACATTAAGTTGTTCAAAGCTTTTCCACTTTGTTTCCATTGCAGCTCTACCCTAGAATCAAACCTCGTCAGCGCTCTCTGGCGTAGTCTCACTGCTCTGAGCTGCAGCTCACAGCTGCACAAGAGACACAACCAAGAGCTGAGGACAACGGAGGAACCCGGTGCTCTGCCTTCTCCCTGTGGCCATAACCCTCTCTGACCCTTTGCTTTCACAAAACCCTTCTCTTTGAAGCAGAGGACACTAAACTCTGACACACACTTGCATCTGAACACACAAGCACTACAAAGTCTCTTATATGATCCCCATCCTTTTTGCCCCGCCTCAGACCGCCACCTTCCAACTTAGGGCTCTGTCACTCTCCTGACATATGCCAATTTGAAGATTAAAACACTACCCCTTGTCTCAGTATTTCTTGCTGTGTTCACACTTCTTCAGCCATGTTCATCTCCCTGTAGTGGTACTGGTTTACATACTATAGTAACTGGAAGTTCATCTTTAAGGATGAGAAGTTGCTGATTTTTGTCAGTGAATTGTAATTTGAGTTGTTGGAAGTATTTTTTATGGCCAAGTTTGTCCCCTTAAGGGAAAAAATATATATTGCTGGAAAACTGACTGTAGCCGAACCACCAAAGATTAATATAAATTTTAAGTTTAATTCTATAAGTCCCTAGAGCTTGCAGGTATTGAGAGATAATCCATTGGTTTGCTGCTATTGAAAATTATGAGTGGGAGTTGAAGCCCCTTTAGATAATCTTAAGGAGCAGAAAATATATATTTAAGTGGGGAACAGATCATGTACATTCTCAGTATTACCCACTGAGGGCAGTTAAAAGAATTCCAGTTTATAAAAGAAAAAGGTTGTGGATGGACAGCTCAAACATCGTCATGAGTTCCATTTCATTTCAAGACATGGGGATTTTTTTTTTCTTAAATTTTTTGTCACCTGTTCAGATTCCGGATGCAGGAGTATTGTGGATGTGTGACAAGAGCATTAATAAATTGTAAGCTAGCCTTTGAACAATACGTTCTCTGTCTCTAATGTGATTTGAATGCAAAAACACTGTTTAAAGGAGCAGACCTTTGAATCTAGGGTTTTTTCTTTATTTGTCCAGACTTTAATTGTTTCTCCCCCTTCTGAGCCGAGTATGGCAAAGCTGCCTCAACAGCAGTTTAAATGCCAAGGATTCTTCAATCATTTCACAAAAATCACAAAGTTCAGTATTTTAAGTCAAGTTTAAAAGCTACTGTGGTGAGAATGCTGCATAGCATTCTAACAACTATTGCCAGCAAAAGTCGAATCTCTGTGACTCAGGAAATACAAAATTATTCATTTAGTTACAGGCCTCGAGTCAGATTTAAAACCTCACTCTGAATTATTAAGGTCCAGTGCTGATGAGGACAAATTTTTTTTAAATATTTGATATTTAACCTTATGCATATGGGGACACTTTTTTAATGCACTTTTTATGTTCTAACCTCATGTTCCTCATATCTGGAACAAGTAGTGGCAGATTATAAATGAAATTTAAAAAAGGTTTCAAAGTAAAAATAAATTATGGACTAATATTATACAATATGAGAGTATTTCAAATAAATCTTTTTGAGCCCCTAAATTTGCTCAATAAAGACCATTCCTCTGATTAAGAGCCAGTAGCCTGAGTGAAAAACATCTGCTGAACCATCTGACTTTTTCAGCTTTGAATTTAAATTCATCGAGTTTCTTGTTTTCATTTATGTGTTGCACATTATGAAGTCTTTTTTTTGAGAGAGGCAGTCTCAAAAGGAATTTAAAATTTCAGAAACGGCAGGGTTTCTTAATTGGCCCCACTTCACTGCAAGGTTTTGTAAAGTTTCGTCTTTGGTAATAACTTTAAAAATATTATTCATATAGTGAAGGCGTTGCTTTTAAACTACAAGTGAGCATGAATTATTAATCGCTTTTCCATCAAACCCGATTTTATTGGCTAACTGGTGTGCAGTAACTTTAAATGAGTTTTGCAGACTATGCAGTTAAGGTTGGAGCAGGTTTTGCACTGTCATCTGTAGTGCAACATCTCATTTTCCATTGCTGTGTTATGATTCAAGAAACATTATTTCACTCATCGACTGATCCCCACCTTCAAAATGATTGTTTCCAATTTTTGGTCAGTGTCATTTTCTGCCTCCCTGACCTCAGTCTGACCTGTACACAGATCTTCAGGGTTTCCTAGTTTTCTGGTTTTAGACTGCCCTCTGGCCAACTTGCTGCCTATCCTATCATCCTAAGAGGTGGCTTACAGTAAGTGGATAGTAGCATCAGAAATGACGCCTACTTTGACTCATCCCAGTCAAATAATAAAATATAACCCTTTCTAAATACATGGTGTGCTCGTAATATCATGTTGGAGTGAAACGTTAATGCAGGTATTACCGTCATCAAAACCGACCCCAATCTGGTTTATAACCTGGCGTCCCGTGGATTTACAGAGCTGGATTGGAGAGCTGGAGCTGGAGAGTGGATTCTCCTGGAGACCCAGTCATTGTCCACATGGCGGTGACCCTGCAGAGCAGCGGCACTACCGTAGATGAGGCCTGGGCCTGGATTATTAAAGGCTAGATGTGGCTTTGTTCAACGGCTGTGTGGATGAGCGGATAGAGGAGGGAGAGTCCTCTGGTTCCAGAGAGGCCATGGCAGCTCCGGAGAAAGATTTTGTTGACTTTGGATTTGATTCTGTTGAGAGAGAGAGAGGAGGAGGGTGAGCAGCCTGAGAGTACAAAGGCAACAGTCAACATGGCAGATACAGTAGCTCCATTGTGGTTTTGAAATACTTTTTGTGCTAAAATAGAGAGGGTTGACTGTTATCAGAGTAACATTTCTGAAATGTCAGTTTGTGCTTTTGTTCTCGATGACAAAGGAGTTTCACATTAACTCCAAAAACAACTAAATAAGATGTCTGGTAAGCAGTCGAAATTAAATGAGAGAAAACATTTTTATCAGTAATAGTGCACAAACCTCTATTTAAATTTTACTCATCAAAATCACTCGTTTCTCTGGTATTAAGATGCTGCATGACCAATGAATGTTCACACACATTTCATCACCAGATGGAGACATTTTAAAACTTTTTCTATGTGGATCGTTTTTTTGTGATGACTAATTGCACCGGAGGCAAAAAAGGCCCCTTTTTTTTTTTTTTTTCCAATTTTCTACAAGGAATGGATCATTTTGACATCAACATAGTTTTTAATATGAATTTCTCACCTGCATGAACTGTTGTTGGGAAACTTGGGTCTTTGACTAGTCTACTATTTTCTAGAAATATCATTCAATGTTGATTTTGGAGTATTTGAAAAGATAGTGTTAAACCATCTGGATTCTTCAACCCCGAAGCATTTACAAACTTGTCCCATGCAGTTTTCTTAAAAAAACAAAAAACTACAACATCCACAGATCACTGGGGGAAAAAACAGTACAGAGCATGCGCAATACCTGTTCGAGTAAACTGATGACCTCACGCAGAGCCCGGACCAACCAGTTGGTTGAATTATCTCCCAGCCGTCTGGGCTGTGTTTTTCTGTTGTCCTATTTTCATTACCTGGCGAACGTGTGGACGCTGTTAACGAGAAAATGCTCGGCCGGGTGCGGTAAGTAAACACACTTTCGCGACATATAACGCGGTTTTTTTTCTACAACAGCTGCAACAATAGTCGCGTGAGCGGCCACACCGTGCGGTCCGGCTGCTGTGGGGCTGGTGACCTCCGTACCGGTGTGGCCGCTCCACGCCACCGGAAAGACGAGGATTTATTCTCCCGCAGTTGTTGCCGAATTACCTAAACTTACCGTTGAGCTCTCGTCTCTTGTGGACTTCGGAGACCCTCACTGACACACACCCGGTCCAGACCCGAGTCTAGGGGACAAGAAGGGGGTGAAATTTGCATGTAATTTGCAAACTTGTTTTTTGTTTTGTCGACTCCGTCTATCTGGGAGGTAAACTGACCCTTTTTCACACCCGCTGACACGCCGGGGAGGTGAGGAACTGGAGCCCAAAGACCTCCAGGGTCCTAGAGGCTCGTAGGGATCTCCCAGCGAGGCGAGGAGGAGTAGTAACGTCCAATCTAACGCCAAATCTAAAGCACGTTATTAAAAGGATGTCTCACTCACACGTGAGCAGTTTAGGATTGATGTCAAATCTCCCACGCAGGGTGTACATTTACAATCAGTGTTGGAAATTCATCTGGGTTATTTGGTCGTAAATAATTTGACTTAGTGGCTGTCTTGTAATCTGAAAGTTGGTTTGATGGTGCTCATTTAAGATATCTAAGAACCACAATGACCATATGATTAGTCCATTTCTGTAATATGCTCTGCATTGACAGATTCATTAGATCGAATCTTTTTTGCATTTTCATTGCAAAATTAAACATTTCTATTTCAGAGCTCAGTTGATGCATTTCCAAACAAATGACAGGTGTTTGGTGGCTTCACTGGGTTTGCCAGATTTAAAGCTTTAGGATTTAAATGACTTGCAGCATGTCACTTTATGTCATGGCAACAATAATATTAATCTATTGTCTAGTTTACTGTTGGAAAATGTTTAATAAATAAGGCTTTATTATTGCCTGCCATTGTAAATAGAATCAAACGAAAGAAGAGAGTATTCTGCCTAATGCCTCCTTTTGTCAATAGGACATCACGGGCCGTTAATTCCTTTAACAGTGAGCCTGACTACCCTGTAATAAAACGGCTGCTACATAGAGCTGTCAGACAGACGATACCGCACGTCATTGGGAAATCTTCCCGTGTATCATGATGAATAAATCACCTCAAGGACTATTAAAGTTTCAGGTCATTCGGAGAGCACAACCGTGATGATCGATTGCCCTATGCCCGATTTGACATTTATCAGAAAAGACTTGCATTCCAGAGAATTAAGGAGCCCTAGATCATTTAGAGGCCTGTGTGTGCCTGTAAAGGCGGCTTACTGCTGCGACGCTATCCGCAGGCATGTTTTCACTGCAAACATGGAGAAAATCTGACCTGATCCACCGTGCTGTTATTGTGTCCACAGGTTTAATGCTGAGATAGGGAGGTGACAGCACACAGCTCAGCACCGACAGGTCTGGACACTGGAATTACATGTTTTGTTTTTCCAAATAGGCGCACGTTGCCGGTGACAAGTCTGTGTTGTAACTTCATTCTTTTCCCCAAGCGCTCACCTGTTATCGGAGCCTGAACAATAGATGTCCGCAGAATTTGATTAGAGGCTGGTGAACAGCATTTGCATAATTCTTAGCAGGATTCCAGCTGGTGTCCTCTACAGTCCAGATCCATTTCCAATCAGTTAGATTCTTTAAAGAAGGAAGATGCCTGCCTCTTCGTGTTGAGACAGGTGATCCTCTGTGCCTAAAGGATTAGTATTTAGTGGTCAAAAGTTGTAATGGCTGTGTTTATCTCTGTCTGAAGGGCTTATTGTGTTTTATGATTGTGCCATGAGCAAACGCAGCAGACATCGCATGCGGTGTGTGAGGTACATTCTGTTACTTGAGGTTCTTTGGGCAATCTCAAACACTTTAAATGACGCGTTGGGGCATTACCTCCCTCAGCCAGGCACAGCCCTCAGCTGGAACTGCTGCCATGTTGTTTTTTTTGGCAACCGTTTCTTGTTGATGCTTCACGTTTCTACTCTTGACGACGGACACGGAAACACAATAGATCGTCCTGCTGTAAAACAAAATGTTGCCTTGGTGAAATTGTATTGTCATCATGACTGGATTTGTGTTAGCTTTGGTGGTGAAACAATCGTTGTTGTTCCACTGTGTGTGTCCGAGGCGAGGCTGATGAGTGATATGGCCATACAGAGTCACAGACGGGAGCATCAATATCAGTGTCGCTACTCAACAAACACAGCTAGTGTAGTGAATGTGCTTCTCTTGTTGGGCAGCACACACAGCACAAACACCTGGGGAAGTGGGTTAATGAACAGGGTGTAAAGTTTCACGGGGCAGGCAGTATAGCTGGGAGGGAAGCTCCCTGGACAGCTCACAGCAGTGCAGAGCAAATGACCATCTTAACTACATGGGGGAGGAGCTGACTAA